TTGGCTTGGTGTGTCCAGCTAGTACACCAGGGTTCATAATATTGTCACTAACATGCCATCGTCTTGAAAAAGGCTGAATAATTACGTTTCACATGCATCGATTTGTTCCTTGTTTTTTCGTATATTGAAATATAATCATACATTTGAATTATTTCCAGAAAAGAACATTTGCTTGCATCTTTTATGTCGTCTAATAGTTTAGAGAATTTAAATTTGAGTGGTTTTGGTAGGAATGTTCATAATCACAGCTTTTCTTAATAAGTCTTAAACAAACTAAACTTAATGCTTGTAATGAGATCTAAAATAGGTAATGTAATCAACAAGAAACGGAGTCCTAAATCCTGATGATGTACATACATTTATGAAAATGCAGTCGTAGAAAATACTCCATGGAAACATATCATTTATATATCAGAAGATTCGAAGTAAAATTTTGAACCATAAGTCTGAAGATCCTTTAATTAAAGCATGAGCTCACACGAAGCAGATTGATCAAAACTAAAAGGAAGGAAACCCAAGTAACCCAAATTAACATTTCAATTTGACGGGAAATTTTCGAATTCTATTGATTCTTAAGGTCAATTACTCATAAACCATTTTATGTATACACCGACAAGTTGAAATGAAGTACTGTGTTCGCACAAGTTTTGCTCGTATGCCAGTATAAGTATACACAAATGAATTATGATCTTCCTCTTCCTACATGTATAACACTCTCTTCAATTGATAACCAATAAAAATTAAAAATTATTGATTGACTGGATATTTCACATTGGTTAATCGTTAATCTATAGAACTAGGAAGTCATGTATGTAAATAAAACAGGTTCTTTGGTTGTTGAGAAAGTTAAGTAGATAAGTTGGACTAAAACGTAAAATCAATTACAAATCAAATAAAACAACACTTGCGGGTGGTATTCTAAAGCATTTAACTTTTTAAATGAGAATGATAAAACCGTAAGAAGAAAGGAAATAGAAAATAAAGAAGAGCTTATAACATGACACAACATCGCATGAATTGTTGTATTTCAATATTGTATACTGTAAATTCATTTAAAAAGAGCCCAATATTCGTATGGATTTGGAATTCTAGAAACCTCCGAAATTTTCCGAATGCATTGCTGTATTTTAATCTGTAAGGTCATTAGTGAAGAGTCAAATATTCGTATTGACCAGAAAAGTATTTTTGAAACGTCTAGACACATGCGCACTTTTTGTCTGCCGACAACAGGTTGATTTCTTTGTTTCAGACAAATTTTTGTCATGTTAGAAAATAATCCTTTCGACTTCGAGCTGACTTATTTTTTACCATCTTCACTTGAAAATGATATAAGATTATTCAATGACTGGTTCTATAGAAGGTAGACTCCTTTCTTACTGTCAGCTGACTTTAACTTATCTAGCAGACAATTTTTACAAAGAGAGGTCGACTTTAGACATTTGTAATATCATAATGTATTGTGTTTAGCAGCCCAAATGTTTAGATTTACTCGAAGAACATATTGATAACTTTTGTATGAAGATCCCTTTACTCTAATCTGGTAAAAATGGAACAGTTTAGTCTAGATTTTTTTCTTGAGTTGCCTGAGGGTTACATACATATTAGAGAACCTAATTAAATGAAATATGATTAGAGTATTGTATCATTGATCATTTGACGGATTTCATGTTAATCATTAAAACATTTTATCATATTTAAAAAGGTACTGTAAGGCGATGGATAGCAGCGTTGGTAAGTTTATCCAGTACGAATTGTTGCAGATATTTGCATAATAAAGCAATGAAAAAGGAGAAAATAAATTAAGACAGTAGTTTTATAGTGATAGGTAATCAAAATATCATTTATTAGGATATGAATTTTCGTATCTTGATTTTCTAAAGACAAGACTTTTTTAAATAGTTTACAATGTTCTCTTTCGTTTTATTCAAGATAATCATTGAACATTTAACAGTATTCGGCACGTTAGTGACTAAGGAATGGTGATAAGCTCAAAGTAGTCTATCTAAATAGATATAATAATTAATAAGTTGCTTCCTGTCATAAAACGTTTAAAAAACACTTTAAGTATTGATGTCTATTTACCAATGAATTATCGCTTATTTCAGTGCCTCTTAAAAGAATTTGTCATCTGCGCAGATAATTTTCCATGTAAATATTATCAAAATAGAAACCACTGTAACTGATTGGAGAAGATACCAATAAATGCGTATTATATCCATAAATAGGTATCAATTTTCAGTGATATCAAAATAATTTTATATTTCACAATAATGTCTGTCATGGCACATACATTCATGTTAATGGCAACAGTTCCCTCTGTGGGATCATAGTTCAAATGAAAACTGAAAAAAATAAGTGGCCTCTAAAATATTTCTTTTTTTGAAGATCATTAAGTTTTCTACAGATGAAATTTCAGTCATGGTGTCTTTTGTCATCATGTTGTCCTTTACATGGATGTTTGCACAATGACAGCAAATATAAAAAAAATCCAAAGTTCCATTTTATCACTGAAAATTAAACCACTAGCCTAACGTTTTTCCTCTATGATATTTTCCTATTAAGCAAAGTCAGGATGAAGAACGACAATAAAAGAGCTGTTCCTTTGATATTATTTATCAAACACATCCGTGTCATCTTTTTCTGTTCTACATCAATAGCAATAAACATGTTTGTTTATAGCCGATCTTTTCCTTTCCGTTGAATTTCTTCGATTTTTTTTAAGACACGGAGCGATATAGAGCTTGAAATAATGTAAAATTGAGAATGGAAATGGGGAATGTGTCAAAGAGACAACAACCCGACCATAGAGCAGACAACAGCCGAAGGCCACCAATGGGTCTGCAATGCAGCGAGAAACTCCCGCACCCGGAGGCGTCCTTCAGCTGGCCCCTAAACAAATATGTATACTAGTTGTGTGATCCTGGACGTCATACTAAACTCCAAATTATACACAAGAAACTAAAATTAAAAATGATACAAGACTAACAAAGGCCAGAGGCTCCTGACTTGGGACAGGCGCAAAAATGCGGCGGGGTTAAACATGTTTTTTGAGATCTCAACCCTCCCCCTATACCTCTAGCCAATGTAGAAAAAACAAACGTACAACAGTACGCACAGTAAAACTCAGTTTAAGAGAAGTCCGAGTCCGATGTCAGAATAGGAAACACAAGAAAATAAACAAAATGACAATAATACATAAATAACAACGGACTACTAGCAGTTACTGACATGCCAGCTCCAGACCTCAATTAAACTGATTGAAAGATTATGTCTTCATCATATGAATATCAGGCACAATCCCTCCTGTTAGGGGTTTAGTATTATACCATCATAAAATATATGAGAAGAACATAACCCGTGTCATGCCAACAACTGGTTTTAGAACAAATATGTTTAATTCCGGTGCAAAGACCCTATAAGTGAATCAATATTAAAGCCAAAATATGCAATCTTTAATGACCTGACAACAGCATCGTAACTATATCCCTTCTTAATAAGTCTGTTTAAAGGTTTTGTTAGCTTTTGAGGTGAATACTGACATTTTTGTGCTTTGTAAAGAATATTACCATAAAAGATTGGATGTGAAATACCCGAACGTATAAGATGTCTGCATGTCGAGTTATATTTACGAATGATGTCCTTACACCGATGATAAAATTTAGTAAATGTTTTGACTAGTTTATGATATCGAAAACTTGTATCTTGTATCTTGCACTTGTATCTGATTATTGTCGAAGACTGTATGTCTCTCCTCTTTAGTGTCGTTGGATTGCTGTCTCATTGACGTATAACCCACATTTCCTACTATTCATATCTTAAATGCAAATTCTGTGTACACGTATTATTTTTTTAGTATAACCTTTTGACATGCTTGATAATTTTTGGGAAGCAAATACATTAAACGATTCACCAACACTCAGAGCGCCGAAACAGTACAGCTACTATAAACTTAGATCCTCCCTACATCAGTATTTTACAACTTAAGCCTTAAAACTACTACATATTTTACCAACTGAAAATTTATAGTGAAAAAGTATCATTAAATTCATACAAGTACCTAACAACTGCTACGGGGTGATGTTATTCTTCGAGACTCATAGTTCATCCACAGAAGTAGTGGTATGTTACACATTTCAGTGTACTCGACAAGTGTGTCAAGTATAATCTTCATCAGATGATTTTGAACCCCAAAATATAAACGTTTTAAGAGTATGACAACCTATATGACCCTAGAAATTGGAACAACCCGGACAAGATAATCACTGGCGTAGGAGCCGGGAGGGGGCAATGGGAACAATCCCCCCCCATTTTGGCCTACAAAATTCATTAAATATAAAAAAATAAAATGGAAGAGAACACTGACTAACTTCTAGATTATAAGACTATAGAAACTTTTGTTGTGTTTTTTGCTTGTCACTTTAGAAGTTTGCCACTACTTAAATCAGTCTGCTCCTACGCCATTGAAAATGGAACAGTAGCAAAATGTGTAACGATTTTCTGTAGCCTGAATGCAAGCAAACGAAAAAGCCTTGAAATATAATTTGCTGTCTGAACAAACATAGTTCCGTTCTTCTTTTCCTTCATTTATTATCAATAAACTGATTGTATACGAATATGAATGGAATGTGCTCCTAACTACATTAACATGTGACTAAAAGTCAGCAGTTTTAATGCATGCATGCGTTTCTAGTGTACATGCAACAGAAAAGTATGCTTAAACACATTTTTACAAGTGGTCAGAACCGTAGAAAAACTGCTGAACATCCTATCATGAAAACGATCCAATATATTCGCACTTGTTAAATAAATTGAAAAAGGCTACCCAATATCAATATACATGTATCTAGAAAATGCAATAAAATAACAAACGTGTAGCTTATTTACAGTGAAACAAACCAAGGCTAATAACTATACATAGAATAATAAATTTTTGTTCGGATACAATATAAAATGTGGTAAACAGCATATAACTATTATTAACAGTTTGTTCCGTTGTTTTTACCAGTCATGTTTGTTTGTGTAGTCCCTTCTGTCAAACTCATAACTTTCATTCGATGCTCTGTAGATGTTTGTTGGTCCATGACGTTCAACAGGAGTGATATGTTTGTCAGGATATCTAGGCCATCTCGTCGGGTAATCAGATGGAATGATACGTTTTGGCCATTTTGGAGGTGTCCAAGATGAAACCATTCCAGAACAAAATTTCAGAAACATAAAGTAGCCACCTAGACTTGATAACAAGCCAATTAATGTTCCTACTAGGCACGAAATGATACTGCGCTTATTGATGACGTTGGCGATTAACACCTTTTTGGACGGATCTCTCGAAAGCATACAACTGCAGTCCGCGTAATCAGTTTCATAACAATTCTGAAAATAAAAATAAAGAATATGAACTAAGTAATTGCAAATAGCGTTCATATTTTTTTTTCATTTCATTTGTTTACTGAGAGTGTTTCTATCAATAATCTTTGGTTAACTTTTCATAGTGTATGAATATAACTTCAAGAACACGTATTGAAACAATTACTGACTCACATTTATGAATACATTTTTAATGTTCGAAATAGAAATAAATATAAGGAATAAAAGGCATTTCTAAATCTTTTTTTATACATATCTACAGAAGCTGTTAAAGTGGCAAATAAATTACATTAGTTACTTCACCAAGTCCTTGTTATACTTTTTCTTTTTCTAAGCACTCCGTAACACATAATCCATCACTTTTGTAACTATTGTATAGATTACATGCTAGAAATAATTACAATTTAAAGAATGATAGTTCGTATAATTTTAAATTTACTATAACAATGTGTGTGTTTCCAGTTATTATACCTGATCCTTTATAACCTTTGTTTCACAATTCACACCAGTCCATCCATTAGTACACGTGCAATGGTACGTGTGACCTTTGGCAGTACATTGACCGTTATTTTTGCAAGGCTGAAGTTGACAAAGATTGATACCTGGAGAGTTCAAACAAAATTTTTAACAATGATCTATATCGTCTTGTCAATGTCTCTTGAATTTTAATTATCTGGTTTGGTTTCTACAGCTTTTGTCATGATTTAAGACGTTCATACGTATTAACTTAATTGCCTATATGGGTTGCTTATAACTCTTCAACTTAAAAAATAAGTTTGCCTGGTACAATTATTTTATTTGGTTAGAAATCCAACCTAAATATAGGAACCTATCCACATCTTTGCAATAGAAGAGCTATCGGTGATAAATATCATTATATCATGTGATGTAATATTATAAACCAAAATTGAAAGAATTTCTTACTACATTATTTACTTTCATTAATAATAAATATAAATAACAACAATTAATAAGCTCGAATTATCATATAATTCTTGAAAAAAAAATTGACAAATGTATCCAAACAATAATAAATATGAGGGTCACTCCTCCTGCTTAGTCTTAAATTTTAACACTTAATGACTGCGGTGTTGACACGTGCTTTAATATTTAATGTAAGTAATTTTTCAGATGTATATTGACAGCAATGTTAAATTGAGACAGTAATTTACCGATCATCAAATCTCAGAAATCGATTATGAAGACAAATCAAGGTAACACAAAAAATCTAAGGGACTCGCATGAACTCCAAAAGGAGCGAGATCGGGTGCGTCAACAAGGTAGGCGTATCCTGGTATGAATATTTACTTTGTAATTTGAAGTTAATAAGAAATAAATTCCAAACATTAATTCCTCCGTGGATCAAGATGGAACTATCATTTCACACATATTATAATATGTTGTTTTTTATGTACCCCTGAATGTGAACAAAACTAATTCTAGATGCTTTTAGTTATAAGATACACATGCCTTTTTCACATATAATATATCTGCATCAGTTCTATAATAAGTATACTGTTTTCAACCAGAATACCTCTATTAGCTGAACATACCCTTTTCACACAGAAAACCTCTGTAACCTTGGGAACACTGACAACTAAAACTATTCACATGGTCAATACAGGTTCCACCATGTTTACATGGGTGATTAACACAGTCATCAATGTCTAAAATTAACAAAAGTGTAAACTTAAGAATGTGTATGTTACGAACATTATAATGAATAAAATGTTGAACTAGAAAAAACAATTTTTATGCATAAAAATAACAAAAGAATGGAAAGCATATACCATTGTAACAATTCATTACACTAACAAGTATTTTATAGTAAAGCAAGTTTATATCACACATTTACCCATACAATTATTTTAAAAACTAACTGCGAGATCTTATACTAAATGATCTTTACAGAAACCACAAACACTAGCACTTTGACACATTTCTGTGACTAAATATACAAGTGTGCGAACTTAAATACTGGAGACTTATGAGCTAATCTTAAAATAACTACGAAATAATGATGAATTGGTACCTTTTTCACATATTTGTCCAGTATATCCTGTATGACAATGACATATATATCTGTTGACTCTATCTATACAGGTACCTCCATTTGAACATGGCCTACTCCTACATTCATCAATATCTGTCAAAAAATCATTGAAAACAAATTTAAACATGTCCTTGATTTTAATGAATAAACTTATTTATTTTTTTCACGAAGAGACGTAAAAAACGTCTATATAACTAGTTACTTTTGTAAATGCGAAAGTTTATCATGTCCCTCAAGAAAATGAAACCTTGTAAATTTTATAAGGATCGACTAGAAATACGCCTAGCCGATTGAAAAAGCCCGTTTAAATAATAAAAAATAACTTATCATAGTATCTTCTTATTTACCTGTATCACACCGCTTCCCAGTAAATCCAGACTTACAGTTACAATTAAAATCGTGAAGTGCATTTATGCAAAACGTTGCGTTGACACAAGGAGAGGAAGCACAATTATCAATGACTGAAACGAAAATAAAAATTTCATGAGTATCATGCAGCCATTTTGAAAATTATTTCTAAGCTTAAATAAGTTTTTATATCATGAAACCAAGAGGTGAATTTAGGGATATGAGCTGCTGTGCTGTTTAGGTTTAGCTAGCTATAAAACCAGGTTTAATCCACCATTTTCTACATAAGGAAATGCCTGTACTAAGTCAGGAATATGACAGTTGTTTTCCATCCGTGTGATGTGTTTGAGCTTTTGATTTTGCCATTTGATAAGGGAATTTCCGTTTTGAATTTTCCTTGGAGTTCGGTATTTTTGTTATTTTACTTTTTATAATAGATAAGATCGTCCTAAGAGCATCAAAATGTTTAATGACATAATTAACAGAAAAAATTGTGTATTATGCTTTAAAATGTGAAAATGTATGACTGCAAAAATACCTTATTCGTTTGAAGAAATGTGGACATAAAATGTACGGATTGAATATTACTTAGCATTGCTTGTTTTTTTCCTCCTCAAAAACTTAAATTCAGAATTTATAATTGTAATCATTTCCATTAACGACAAATGAGCCACAAACATTTTATATTCGTAAACGTCAACGTTCGTTAACTTTCTTTTAACTGTATTTTTCGCATAGACAACTTACTTTAAAATGCATGAAGCGATTCATTTAAAGATAAACAATAATACCGTCCATTTAATATATAATTGCAAATATCAATTTCTCAGTTTGAACTCTCTAAATGATTTGATAGGAGAATGGCGTCCCCTAGTGTATTGTGTAAAACTCATACAACAGAAGATGTGATTTTATACTGTGACGACTGCGAACTTTTAGTTTGTAGGGAATGTGTAAGACAGGAGCATAAACTGCACAATTTTTTAAAATTCAAAGAAAAGGTAGGAGATTCAAGATTATGTCTTACCGACAATTTACTAACATTAAATAGCGCCCGATTACCGAGATTGCGTGAAAATTTGCAAGATGTTATTTCGCTGCAAGAAACAAAAGAACACGATACTAAAGACATGCTGACAGAAATAGTATCAAGAGCAGACAAAATGATTGAAAATATAACACTAATTCGCGAAAAACTGATGAACAGGAGTGAACTCCTACACGAAAAAAACTTAACAGTTATAGAAAAGAAAATTGCACAAATTAACGCCCGAATAGATATTTTTGAACGTGCTGACGCTTTTGCAAAAGGAGCTCTTGAACATGGCTTTGATGAAGAAATTATCCACGAAGATTTAGAATTGAGAAGACAACTTCATAACTTCCAACCCATTAATATTTACGAAGATATCGATCGCCCCATTTATGTTGACGGAGATTTGAATGAACTTGTTTTAAAGCAAATGTTTGGAACAGTTTTATCGGAAATCAGAGATTTGTCTAATGAAGATAATAAACGTCCTGCACTTAAAGTTCAGAAAATTTCGATGTTTGTTTGTGGTAATGAAGATATAGTTGGGATTTGTGCAATCAAAAGTGATGTGGCATGGCTGCATCCAAAGAAAGGAAGTAGAAATACACTGGTCAATGTAAATGGTCATCAAATGTCATCCCTTGATTTCGGTTTTGTCGTTACCTCCTTGACACTATCAAAGAATGGCAAAATTTACATGACGGACTATTCAATAAACCGTATAATTTCAATGGACTCTTCGAAGAAGTTTCATACCGAAATAACACTTTCTCTGCATCCTATTGGTATAATCGTCTGCTCCGACGAAGACATTTTGATATGCCTAACCGATGAATGGATTTATAATACCACATCAAAGAGTCAAAGAAAAGTAGTTCGAATGACAAAGGAATTCAAGGAGAAAGTAACCTTTGAGTTAGATGAACAGGGTGAGAATATATTCACTCTTCCAATAGCTGTAGCCGAAAACCTGAATGGTGACGTTTGTGTTGTCGATAAGATTGCAAGCGATAAAGGGCGTGTATGTGTTTTGTACGATACAGGCAAACTACGTTTTGTTTATGAGCATAGAGGAGCTAGTATGCCATTTGACCCATCTTCCGTCTGTTGTACAAGGTATTCAAACATTGTTATCGCTGATCCTGCTAACAACGTTGTAGAAATAGTTTCAGATGGTGGCGAGTTTTTACATTTCCTGATAACCGAGAAAGGTGGTTGCATTATGCCGATATCTTTAGGGAAAGACCCAGATGACAGAATATGGATAGGATGTGGGAGTGGAAAGTGTATTATTCTCAAATACAGATATGGTTTACCGAAATAATACCATTAATAACAAGTAAACATGTAAGGGATGCTGCTGGAATTAACTTAAATATCGTTTTTTAATATTTCCCTTACATGCGCAACTCACGTGTTACTGTTTTTGGAAACGTACATGTACTATGTTTGAACTATTATAAATATGATTTGCAAACATTAAAGTTTTATGTTTATTATGGTATTGTAGGGCTTTTCCCATAACAAAACCAATCTGTTGAACGCAAAAGGTTTCGATTTTATTATTTACAACCAAATTCTAACCAAAACAAACGATATATTTGTCCCTATCTATGAAATTTACGTTACACTAGGAAATGATACATTGTATCAACTAGAAACAATAAGGAAAGTTCGAATTACGAGTTTTTGCATGAGCATTTATGACTAACTGCATATATTCACTCAGATTAAACCAGATACTAAATAATATCCCTATATTAATGATCGTAGCCAAATACAATTGACCCTTTCTGGGAAAATAAGAACTGAACCCATTCTGAAAACAGTTCTGACAGGACTTCCCTAGATACAGTGAACATAAAAAGATACAATGAGGGAGGGGAGGGGAGGGATGGGAATCAAAAGTCAGAGAAGGATAAAAAGCAACATGACTAAAGGAAAAAAGATGAAATACAGACATCAATTCATAAATCATTGTACAGAAAACTTCATTGAGCAGCATCAACCCTCACCAGGAACTGGTCATGAAGTATGCGTTTATCAAATAATACTGGTAACAAAACGGCAAATTCAGGAATGATAAGCGACCATCTTTTCGATCAAATTTCCATAAGACTCCTTTAAGAACCCCTGTTTAATGATATTGGCTGAGCTGCATATACACATTATCTGATTATCCGTTTGGATTAAAAACATAAGATCTCAATTGGATGCCCTTCAATTTCTATGAATTGTGTTGCTTGAATAAAATCGAAAACAAGAGTTTGTGAATTTAAATGATATAAATATTCGTAAGCATGAAAAAAAAGTCCTGACCATAATCGACCAAACCGTCTATAATACACTCTGCATTGATTTTTGCTCGAATTTTCGATACAGTTTCGTTATCTATACAGTAAAATTATGTCATCTTTATATAGTTCGGTTAGAAACATGATGTTGCTGTCAAACAATCCATACCGAGGCGGCGTAAAGCAACCAACAATCAATGAATCAATCCAGGAATTGTGTGCATTTCAGTCTAACAATCAAACGGTTTTGAAATTGGGGCAATTATAAACTAACATAACTTAATATGACAGTTGTTATCCATTCGTTTGATGTGTTTGAGCTTTTGATTTTGCCATTTGATTAGGGACTTTCCTTTTTGAATTTTCCTCCGAGTTCAGTAATTTTGTAGACTTTTGTCAGCCGTTCAAGGCCGTATGGTGACCCCTCGATGCCCTTTGATAATCTTTAATACCAACCCTTTGTTCCTTTAAATGTCTATAGCTGCAAAATTATTGAATTGTTGTGTTGATGAACTACTCAAAGCAAAAAGAAATAGATAGTAGAAACAAACATTTCAATAAAACCATCAATTTTTAACAATTTTATTAATACAAACGTAAAGTTGACAGAAAGAAACGTACAAAAAGAAGCTTCAAAGCTCTATCGGCTTACGGAAAATAATAACAAAAGCTTTGCCATTAAAACATCCTACCCATAGTTTGTTTTCAGAATCAATAGCTATGGTGCATGGAATCGTAGGGCTAATTTCACTCGGAGCAAAGTCTTGTATGAATTTCCCATCAGGTGCAAGTATGTAAACGGAGTGACTTGCTGCATCTGATATAATTATGTTTGCTTCACTGTCACAACAAATTCCTGTTGGATTAAATGGTCCTTTGGATTTTGAGTGGTTAAACTTTAAATAACCATCGTCGTTGAAGACCATTACTTTTCCCGTTTTAGTGTCAGTTCGGTTAAGAACACAAATATCTCGATTTTTATTTTCAACAACGATTTCAGGTAATACAAAATATCGGGAAGCATCCTTGGCTCTGTCAATCTGAAGTTGTTTCTTGAATTTGTCGGACACGCGCAGCACCATTCGTCTGCTCTTGTCGTTTGCCTTGTAAGTGTATTCATCCACCTGACACATTAATATGTCTCCATTCTTGCACAGGCAAATGCCAACCGGAAACAACCTAGACGTAGCTGTACTGTATACCATTTTAGGTTTCGTTTTTGGTTTCAGGAGCATAATGTTTTGGTTAGTATAGTCCGATAAATATAAATCTCCATTGGGACAAAGCGCAAAACTTGTAATGCTAAATCCGACATCCATATCAGTATCTTTTGCACCGTATCGATTTACGAGGAAACATTTGTTTGATTTCCTTGGGTGAACCCATGTTTTGTCTTTACTGATTGGACAAATACCTTCAATATCAATATCTCCGAACGAAAATGGAATAGCAGTTACTTCAAACTTGGTCTGCGTTTTTTTTGGTTCTTTCTTTGTCTTGGAAAAAACATTTCCTATCATCTGCTTGATGACAATATAATCGGTATCTCCCACGACATATTTTGGAGAATCAACAGAGTCTTCAACATCAAGAGGCTCTCGATCTTTGATAAAATCGCGTACTTTGATTTCTTCGTAGATGATTTCTTGTTCACTACCTTTCTCCAACGACTTCTTTCCTGTAACTTGAGATCTTTCAAACATATTTATATGCTCTTCAATAGTAAACTGCTTGTCAGTGAGCACTTTGTCATTTTCAAGCTGAATGTCGTCACTCTCTACGAGAAGTTTCGATCGGATATCATTTATTTCTCGAATCATTGCATCTGCTCGTTCGTTTATTTGTTTCTTCAACTGTATGTTAGTTGCTTTCTTATTTTCCTTCAATTCTTTAACTTTAGTCAGATTTTCTCGTAATTTAGGAAGTCGATCATTTTTTGCATTTTCTAAATACTTTTGCAATGATATCTTGGATTTTGAAACTCTTTCGCTGAATTTTATAAACTGAGACTCTTCACTTTTTGATTCCCGATTGTGTTCGTGAGCGAATTCTTTAATGCAATCTCGACAAATAAGGTTTTCACATATATTGCAGAAAAAGATTACTTCTTCTGTTTTATGTTGTAGACAAAACACTTTTCTAGGGCCTTTCTCATCTAAAGAATGACCGATTCCTGCCATTTGTCCCTTTCACTAAACGAAAGTTTTGTGTGAATAACGAAAACATTGATTTTCAATAACAGTGTAAGTTAGATCTAACATTTAAGATTAATGAAATGTATGAATGACTGATAAAGGAATCATCACACTTCTATAACTGTTATAGTAAATAAGTAGACCTTGATAATCATTTGTGTTATTTTCATTTAAAAGGTATATCAATTTCATCTCACGCTTAATTGATAGTTTGCAAAGAGCTATTTGTAATCTTATATGTTTTTAAAAAAATTTGCTTAGTAAGGAATTACATTGTTTTATTTATATTTAAAATTAGACGGTTCTTATGATGTTCAAAAAATTATTCTTTCAAAAATATTTATACCTAAATACTGCAAGTACTGAGTTTGAAATCTTTTTGTACTTAACAGATAAAACTTTACGCATAAGACGAAGAAGCCCTGCAAAGAGAGATTTTTTTCGGCGTGGTGTTTCCTAAATCACTTTATATGAACATGTACTACTATTCCTTTCTTTCTACTTTAATTATTTGAAACTAAGGTTCAAATTCCCTCAAGCAAAGTTGACCCGAGATAGAATTGGGGTACTTTTTGTCATAAGGCTCTTCAAGTTTTTCAGGTCTTAAACATACTTGGTTTTCACATTTTGGCTTTGAGCGTTTCTGATGAAGATAAGTCAGGAAAAGTGCGTCGGACGTAACTATTTCATAATGTTCTATTTTGTAATTTTCCTTAATTGACAATTTAAAAAATTACCTGAACTGCACAGTCTGCCTGTGTAACCTTTCTTGCAAAGACAAGTAAAACCATTGACGTGGTCAGCGCAGTATCCTCCACTAGCAGAACAAGGCGAACTTGCACATTCATCGATATCTGTAAATAAATAAGTGTTATGAAATTAGAAGACGTTCTGGTAGATTTAAAGTTGCAAAAGACTTAGTCTTCCGGTGAACATGAGAACACCCCGGTTTTTGATGGGGTTCGTGTTTCTCAGTCTTCAGTTTTCTATGTAGTATTTTGTAGATTGTGGTTTGTTCTTTCGCCATTTTTTCTTTTTTTGCCATGGGTTTTCCGGTTTCACTTCGAATGATGATTTTTATTGTTTCTTTGGTATATTCCGCTACTTTAAAAAATTGTTTCAATTCATCAAATTACCCACATATCAAACATTTTAAAAATAAGTAATTGCATTGACATGTTCATCGTCTTGTCATACATAAGTAGAAATAATGTTTACCTATTTGACAATGAGTACCCGAATAACCATTCAAACAAGTACAGGTATATCCATTTATCCTATCAACACATGTACCCATATTTTGACATGGATTGCTGAGACACTCATCAATATCTAATAAAAAAGAATACAAATTAATTCAAGATGTTTAAGAAAATTCAAGGTACATTGGTTTAAACATATTGTATTGTTTAAAATGACAAATGGACCAGACACAAGTTTTACAGCTTTGTCTCGTCTTCTCCAAAACAACAAGAATATACTGTGTTTTTTCCCGGATGTGACGTATTACAAAATTATCTATACTACATATGGAAGTAAAATCTTTACACTAAAAGATGATGATGATGATGGATGGGTGCTTAACGTCCAGCGCAAATCAATATGCATATCCAGGATGAGAACATATTAACGTAATATGAATATTAACCCTGCTTTGTACTAGACCGACACGCTGAGCCGGATTTTTAACATGCTAGTTCACAAGATAACAGTCCACAGGAAGACATATCACCTTACCGGACACATTATTCTGACTCCGAGCCGACCAGTCTTTGCTCTTACTCCTTAATGCCGCGTGCTTGGCGGAGAAGCAGCAAAAACCAATTTTAAAGTCTTTGGTTTGACCCGGTGGGGTTCGAACCCTCGACCTCCCGCACTCTGGGCAAACACGCTACCACGACACCACCGAGGTGGTTCTACACTAAAAGAAAGATGAATTGAGACTTAAAGAAATGATCTTTTAAAAGATTTCAATATTTGGTAATTTTATTAATATAGGGCTTTGTGGCATTCAGTAGAGCATAATATAATAAACTGTGGGAGTTTAATTGAAAGCAAGATTAATATAGTCACAATAACCACTGTTGATGTGTTCACAATATTCTTTATGCTTAAGCAGTACAGACCAATAAATGCAGTTAAGTCTACAAAACAACTTTTTCTTCCTTGATACCGTATAGCGGTTTATTTTCGCTTATTTTGGCGGATAAACGAAAATCGCGAAAATAAATTCCGCGAAAATATATGCATACGTTCGGTAGTTTCGAAGTTAACATGGTTAAAAGATTTTGTAATCGATCTATGTTTTCCTGTCGACAGGTCAATAACGGTATTTATTATACTTCACGTTAAAATGCCATATTTTGATTGGCTAATACGAGGGTGTTAATTTACTCTATTACCCTTCATGGAGACGCTTGATCAAGTGTGCGCTTTATTAAATACGACTCTATTCTATGGCAAATACTCTATTTCCCTTCACGGAGACGCTTGATCAAGTGTGCGCTTTATTAAATACGACTCTATCCTATGGCAAATACTCTATTACCCTTCACGGAGACGCTTGATCAAGTGTGCGCTTTATTAAATACGGATGGTTGTTATGTACAAGACGTCATAGTTTATTGCTCTGAATTTGAAATTTAATCGACAGTAATGACATTTAGTATAATAAATTAAATAACACATATCTGAGAGGGTGATAGAGCAGATTGTTACCCCTCGAAAAGACATTGTCAACCTTGGCTTCGCCTCAGTTGACAATGTTTTCCCGGGGTAAAAATCTGCTCTATCACCCTCTCAGCTATGTGTTATTTATATAATGTTAGTTTTAATAAGATAAATGCCAAAGGGCATTGTTCATAAAGTATTTTATAAAATGACTGCCAGGTGTGTATACCCTTATTAATTAGTGTCAAACTATATTAGTGTTGTAAACAATCATGATTATTTTTAAGTACATCAAATGTCCGGTCAATTTCGTAACTAATCAATCGTAAAATTTACAAGACGTTTGAATACCTGTAACAAATATCTAAGTTGACGGTATTCTAGTGATTAACTGCATCAGAATCTAATCAATAAATAATAAAAAGTGACTTTATACTAATTTTTGAAAAAAGTGACGAGAATGGAAATATCAGTAAGTCATTTTACTAACCTTGTTGAATTAAATATTAAATGGGCAGTATACATAATAAAAATGTTTTCTCGAGGCATATTATTTTCACGGGTACCCTGCCAAATACACATATCTATCATTAACAGGTCTTACGACTACCTCCATATTTATTCCTCTTTCTTTGCATTTTTTTCCATTACCTTTTTACATGTTTTAGACAATGTCTAAATAATATATGAAACATACTTACCATTTTGACAGTTTCTACCGGATATACCAGCTGGACACGAACAGTGATAATCATTTATAAGGTCGGTGCAATTGCCTCCGTTTTGACATGGTTTACTGAAGCATTCATTGATATCTAAATAAACAGGTCTAGAGTAAACGAATAGAAATTAAAAAAGAAGTAAAAATAGATGGAAATTAATGCACAATTAAGATCTAAATTCATTCTGAAAACCTGGAAAAAAATCCTGCACAACATGATGTTCTGGATCTCTGTCGGAATATCGTATAACTTGTAAAAATATGTTTTTAAAATATCAAAAAAGTTTATGTTATTCTACTCTTTGCAGAATTGAAATTATCTGTATTCGAAGTAATAAAACGAATTTTGTTGAAGAGATGTTTGATTAAGGCGACGAGGTTCAATTCTCATAAATCGATTAAGAAGACAAATCAAGGTAACAAACAAAAACTGAGGGAATCGCAAGCAGCGAAACAGGGTATGTCGACGTCTCCTGCGATACACGAAGTAAAACATATTATAAGTCATGATGGAAGACATTTTGCAGTGGTATGTGAACATTGTAATGTGAATATAACCGGCGCTCCCCAATATAAATACACACACGAAAGAAATTCATTACTAGTATTTAGAAATCTTTCAATAAATAAAATAATAGGAATATAATTCCGTTTCATGGATTTGTTCTACCCCAGACTGTTATATTTTGAGAATGATATATACCTTGATCACAGTTATACCCTGTAAAACCAGGCATACACGTGCAATTGTATCTATTTACTAGATCATTACATGATGCATTGTTTTTGCAAGGTTGGCTCACACACTCATTTATATCTGAAAAGAACAAGTTCGATAGATCAAAAGGTATTTATAATTAGATATATATAAATCCTTATGCTTAAACTTGCAATTTTTATTCACATTTTATTGATTATTATTTATATTCATTTATTAGTTTTCCCTTTAATAACAAATACATGTAAATAGAATTGACTTCATATATTAAAGAATTAAGATAACTAATAATAAGACTTTAAAAGTAATAATACATAATCAAATATAACCATTAAAGAATAATTGATGCAGATAAAAAATAACAAAAAACAAACAAACATGAAAGACAGATACCTTTTTCACAATTAATTCCTGCATACCCAGGTAAGCAATCACATTTGTAGTAATTGAGGAGATTTTTACAATATCCTGCATTCCGACATGGACTACTCTGGCATTCATCGATATCTGAAAACAAAATAGGAACACATTACTACAGTGTTATTTCGGAATTGACTGAGATGTGATTCGCAATATCTCTCATATTTACAAATCTACACTTCAGCAAAAAAAAAATAAAAAACATCAACTACCCCTCTCCCCCTCCCTCCAAAAAAAAAACAACAAAAAAAAAAACCAGACGATAAAGAATCAAAACATATGAAACTCAAAACAAAAAACCAAAGAAAAAATGAAAAAAGAATTTGATTTGATATCCTATTTTCATATTAGAAAATATATAAAATCAAAGTGTGGCTCCTTTTATCGAAACCTTACACTAAAAACAATACCTATGCATCTACAGAAGAAGTATATATGTCTGAAAGCCAAATAGAGGGACATTCAAAACAAATTGACCCTATACCCAATATCATAATTTTTAATTAATATTAATCATTCTTTAAGTCGTACTTCAGAAATTATTTACATAAAAAGCACTCAGTTAACACCATCGAAAGCTGGAAATATCTTACATAACATTTTAAGAGATGAAAATGTCTTACCAATTTCACAGTTATAACCTGTATAGCCAGGGATACAATCACAAGTATAGTTGTTAACCAAATCGTTGCAGGTTGCTCCATGTAAACAAAGTCGTCTAGCACATTCATCGATATCTGCGTAGATCAATAACCAATATAACAGATATCTATCTACTTAATACTTAAAACACACAAAAAATTCTCTATTCAATGCTATTTTTGTATAAATAATTGAATATCACATAGGACAATATATTTGCAACATAAAGTCTCCTTAAAAAAATTGCTTTTGGAATTCTCTCTTTCTCTCTCTCTCTCTCTCTCAAGAAAGCTAGTTCCATCCACAAACTTCTCTCTCAAGAAAGATAGTTCCATCCACAAACTTCTCTTTCAAGAAAGCTAGTTCCATCCACTATCCACCAATTTAACTTTCCGCTGTACTGTTGATTTTTATTTCTTTGAAAATTCAATGTTTGATAACTATGTTTAGTACGTTTATGCCCTTTAATTTGAAATAAAGGAACCATATAAACAACATTGTCGGCTTCACGACTTATAAATTAAAATGTACAGGACTTCTAGAAAACATAATTATATAATACAGAAGATGAATTAACTTAATCTAATCTAATTTGATTAAAATAGATCTAAGAATTTCCAGAAACAGATGTTTGATACTGATAACAAAGCTACCGGATTCAATATCATGAAATGGTTGTCCGGGAAGGAATATCTTGGTCGTAGATGAACAAATAACAATGTTCAATTTATAATTTAAATTGCTTTCAGTTACGCTATTGTCTAATGTTAGGGATGCCACAGTCTGTATGTGCCTCTCAGAAGCCAGGAGCCTGTAATTATTGGGTTATGGTCAAATTCAGTTTTCCATTTCATTGTTTTGTCATTAATCAATCGTGGTATGGGTATTGCTCGTTGTGGAAGGCAATACGGTGACATACAAACGCTTAAATCGAAGTTATTTGGCCTATTTTGGACAGTTGTCCTATTGACAATCATAACACATCTCCTTATTTTATATAAACTGTATCTGTGGTATCATTTTTATTTTATTAAAGTTAAATTTGATAGATACGTTCCACATAGTTAAATAACTTTTTACTATTATGTGATAGGACATCATCATTATAGCGGAAAGTGATGTTACAGAATAATGCTAGCTTCTTCCCATTGTTCCCCGAGAAGCTCATGTACGAAGTTTGCTTTATATTAACAAATGAACTAGGCGGCAAGTACAGGATCATAATTGACTCCCATAGGAATTCCGATTATTTGTTGAAAACTCATCCTCCAAATGTAACATATATGCTGTCAATAAAATAATCAAGAATCTTGATTGTGTCAGTGGCAGATACTATTTCGTATGAATCAGAGTTGATATTTTACAAGGAATGTAAGGAAAGTATGATTTATCCCTTCCTGAAATAAGACATTTGTATCTACTTGGCAATGCTTTTTTATGAGACATAGTTGACCTAATTCTTTCCATCTGTATTTAAGTTCAGAATTGGAAACACTAGTGAAAAGGGTACAGATGTCAAATATTCTTATTCTATAACAAGGGGATTTTGATTGTATGTACTATAACAGATCTTTAGAATTATTTAGTATTCTCTTCTGAAACACACACTATTAGAATAGGTAGCTTCCCAGTGACCCTTAACCCCGGTTTTGACTGCTGATAAAATTGATGTAAATAGTTTTTAAACTTTGAGCACTTCGTAGATTCACCAATATTACGTAGTTTCTAAGGAAACTAATGTAATTTTGGTATCCAGTACAGTGAAGATAAATCACGTTCTTCATCTTTGGTTAAAATTCACACTGCTGCAAATAGATAAACTATGCTTATCTATGTAACTTTTGTATGCTGCTTAACCATTCTTTAATTAAACTATTTAAACATAATAGAGTACATACATTTAAATTCATTTGAGCAATGCAAGCTTTGATTTTTACATCAGTTCTTTTGAAATATGTTATATTTTACAAACCTATAGAACAGTTATATCCAGCATAACCAGGCAGACAGGTACATGTGTACTTATTAATTTCATTGTTACACGTAGCATTGTTTTCGCATGGATTGCTAGAACATTCGTCAATATCTGTGTAAAATTAAACAAAAAAAAATAAAAGAGATCAGTTTGGTTGGTTAAGAAATTAACAAAGACAATCAATTCATTTGACATAGATGACTGGTATAAAACATTTCATTTTTTACCGTAATGATATATAAATCTTACACATATGCATTATCAAGTCATTTTTTCATTTCAATTTTACAAATGTTATTCTGTGCAGATCTGTTTTATGCTTGATGGAGATGCTGTTCACCTTATACACAGTAATATACACTGCCCTGAAAATAAAATATATTGCAAACAGTAGTATCAGATATGAAAAACAGTCTAATAATTGATCTATATTTACATAAAGTGTAAAAAAGATAGAGTTTATTTTTAGGATGGAAATATATTACTAGTAATCTTTATCTACAAAGAGGGTGTGTAAGTTGAGTATTTATGGAAAGAGAAAATAGTATGAAATATATGTATATTATAATTATAATATATCTAAGGTCATGCAGAGTGAGAAAGAATAGTAACCGAAGACTACTTTCCTGTTTGACAGTTATATCCCGTATAACCAGGGGGGCAAGTACAGTTGTATACATTAATGAGATCATTACATTTACCACCATGCTGACATGGATTACTTGCACATTCATTTATATCTACAACAAAATCATTGACAATAATATCCGCAATTTGCTATAAATTATTAGATTCTGAAACTAAAACAGAAAAAAAATAATTAACGGAACGTCTTAAACATATTTTACAACGGGAACACTCGAATAAGCCTTTCATAATCGGTTGTGTCAATCATTTTTCCTTTTGCCATTGGTTTAGGCATTTTTCATGGTAAATCCAATGTTTTTTTTTCTTTTTACTATAAGGTCATTAAAGTTTCTCATATTTTTCCAATAATCTCACAACGACTAACAACAAAGCGCAAGTTTAAGTATTTTTTCAAACGTAAAATAAACATACCTATATCACAGTTAGTTCCACTATATCCACCAGAACAGCTACATTTATACATGTTTATTAAATCTATACATGTACCGTCATGTTGACAAGGATTGGACGAACATTCGTCAACATCTGAAAGAAAATGTCAGGAATACACTCATCATTAATACCAGGATTGAAATTTTTTTAGGTTACATTTTCAAGTTGTATTATTTTTTATGTGTCCGAATACATTATTAACGTTTATTTCAACAGTGGTGAAAAAGAACATGTTTGCATAAAAATCTATTAATTTTTCTTTTATGTCTGTTTCAACTATTGCGTGTTCACATATTGTCAAAACATTACAAATCATTTAGGACAATTTGAGTGAATAAAAACCAAGAGTGTCAAACATCGTAATTAAGTTAAATTACAGTACCTGTTGAACAGTTTTTGTCGACGTAGCCTGGTAAACAAATACATTCATAGTCATTAACATGGTCAATACATTTCATCATATTGACACATGGATTTGTTGCACATTCATCAATATCTGAAAACAGGGACAAAATAAAAAATCAGTAATTGAAATAATTTAAAAAAAAAATTTTTAAATAGGACTTTCTAATTTTTCATATACCGTTATAAATGTCATATGAATAGAATCTTAATTTGTTGCTAAGAAATTGAATATATAACACCAATTTACGACACCTTTTTCTAAGGTACATCTTCACCGCTCGATGAAATACATTTGTAAAGACTACTACGTACAATGTTGGAAAGAGCATACACAACTAATATAAATAGGACCTACAAAGAAGGCCAAATCCATTAAAGATTACCTTTTCTTGAGGGGGTTGCAAGCTAATTATTTATATATTCATACAGTCTGATTTGGCGCTGACGCTTTACCAATCGGTCAGTGATATATTAGCCCATAGCTGAAAAATACCAAAAAAAGAAAGAACCAAAAAAAAAAACCCCAAAAACAATGGATTTACAGTGAGTATTTAAGTGACTTTACAGAGTAAAATTGAAGTGTTGTATATGGATGCTGTCTCATTGAGGTATATTCTTAATATTCTTTAATTTATGATAAAATAATCATACCTATATCACAATAAAAACCTGTAAATCCTGAAGCACAGGAACAATTAAAACCATCGATCATATCATAACATGACCCGCTGTTTTTACATGGCCCGCTATGACATTCATCAATATCTGCAAAGAGATTTCCACAGTTTAAGTAAATAAAAAAAATATTTATGACAAAATGCCCAAAGACTTTACATTTGATTCAAGCGGATACAATACATACTTTATGTTTTCCCGCAAATGCGAATAGACACTTGATCATATACATTTTACATACATGATTTAAAATTACCATATACATCTAATATTCTTTTTTACAGTTTTTTAAAGACATATACATAAATGGAAACGATTTCAAAATGAACTACGACTTTAAATCAAATATTTCTGTTTTATTTACCTATCTGGCAGTATACTCCTGAATAACCTGGCATACAGTGGCATGTGTATCCATGTATATTATCAATACAAGTAGCTTCGTTTGTACAGTTATTCTGCAAACACTCATCAACATCTATTGAAAATACAAATTTACAAATAAAGTTTAAAAAGATATTTTTGAAATTCATTCTTCATCAATGCAACTTGAAGGCTGTACAATGACCTATAATTCCTTATATCAACGCAATTTGAACTCTGGTTGCTGGCTAATTGTCTTATTAGCAATCATACCATATCTCCTCATTTTCGTAATATTATAACGTTGAACAGTTCACCAATTCATGTGTATTGATACATTTAAAGATTCGAACAGACGGCCGCCCGGAAAAGATGATTGCTATAGCCTATATAGACCACATTATTGGAGTAGGTGTATGAAAAGAAGCTGAAGATACCAAGGGGACAATCAAAACTCACCAGTCGATAGAAACCGACAACGTCATGGCAAGAAACGAAAGAAGACGAAAGACATACAAGTCTTCGAGAAACATGTTCACAAAACACTACATATAAAACTAAAGACGGACCACAAAAATATGGTTACAAAGCAATTAAAACCCCGAGGGAAATTAATTTTAAAGAGACTATCAAAGTGATAATTAATCTAACAGAGATAATCAAAGATCTGCCATTAATGATAATAAATTTTTTTATAGCAAAATGATTATGAAAACCACACAGGTCTACTCTATGAATTTATATTTAACTCTTTTATGTTCCACGACAAAATAACCAGGCATATAATGTCACTTATTTCCTTCCTTCGGTATTTAGATTGTGCCAAATCTCGATAAAGTTATCAATGATTGGGGGTAGAGAAACCTGAATGTTTAAAATTTATTTTGGCATTTTATGAACAATGATTTACAGCAAATCATCACATCAATGATTGCTTGTTGGCACTCCTTCATCTTATGAGTGCTGACTACCGGGACGGTTATATCATAAGAGTCGAATTGTCCACTAGCATTGGCATAATCTAAGTGGTTGTAAAAAGTTATCAATGATTCAAGGTTTATAATTTTGCACACCAGACGTGCGTTTCATAAGCAATGCTCATAAATGGCACTCAAAATAGATATTGATCCGATTTTTTGTGGTTTTACATTGTGATTAATGTTGACTTACAGATCGAATTTGCATTCTGTTGACCGACTATCGGCGTAATTATTAGTCTTGACCTTAAAAATTGCATGTAAATTGTACTTGTACAGATTTGAGCGAGCGACTTTCAGCAGATCTGAAGCTGATTTGTAAGGAGTTTGGGTTTCGTTCTAGTTGACCGACTTTTTGGAAATAATTGCCCTCATGAAAATTATCTACGTTCTGATTTTAATTGTATTGTCCGACGATCTGGAGCTGATTGTTGGTAAAGTGCATATTTATGTCATACAGATCGGAGTTTGCTTTTCGTTCCGTTTGGACAGTTTACTTGGAATTCAATTTGAATATGTAAGTGTTTAACAACTGTTGTTCCGTTTGACACACTATTCGAATTTAACAAATAAATATCAGTAATCAATCTCTCAGTTGCATCAAGTTAGCTACACTGTAAACCTTGAATAAAATGTTGGCAGTGTTTATTTCTTGTACAACTGACTTGTCAGATGAATTCCCAATATTGTACATGCATTAATAAGGTTTTTTGTTCATAAGCTCTTCGTATTTTCAATAAGATTTGAATTTTTAAAATAGTTTGGCTTCGAATATAACTAAAGAGACATTTATTGTCAAAATGCACATCTGGAGCAAACAAATTGGTACCCTTAATGTTATTGCACCAGGAAGCACTTGTGCTACACCGACATATCTAGTTCGAATTATAAAATAGAAAAATGACAATATCAGGAATTGTCCCACTTGCACAATTGAACTTGGTAGATTTTGCGTTTACAAAATTTCTAAATTTGATAACTTAAATAAAAATGAAGACTTGTCCTAAATAAATTGTTCAATTTTCACAAAAAAGAAAATAATATGCAAATCAGCAACTATGAAAAATTCCATTTGGGTCCTTCCGATACTTTTGGAGTTTTTTGCTGTAACAAAAATTGTTGACGGACAGAAAGACGGACGCATTCTCGCTGCGGAGACCTTATTACCTTTTTCGCATTCTTTACCAGTATAACCAGGGAGACAGGAACAGCTGTAATCATTGACTAAATCGTTACAAATGGAACTATGTTGACAGGGTCTGCTGAAACATTCGTTATTATCTGAAAATATACTGAGCAATAAACATTGTGATTCCTGATGAAAACATATCTAATATTCGCAATATTCAACAGCTAGATTCTGCTTAAAGACAAAAGGTTAACGAATCTTTCAAAATTAAGAAATAATGAAAAATTCAATGATTTTATATATTTTTGTATTGTTATTATCTTTTTTGTACATTACCTGTATCACAATTAAATCCATAAAACCCAGGCGTACATGTACAATGATAGTTATTTACCAAGTCGGTACACGTTCCATTTACACATGGTGAACTATCACACTCTTGGAAATCTGTTGAAAAATAAAATCAAAGAATTTACAATCAACATCATTATTTCATTAATCTTTTATCAAGATATATTGCAGATAAAACTAAGTTAACTTCTTAAATTTATAAGATAACACTTACCAAAACCAAAGTTTTTTTATTAGAATATGTTATATCTGTTCTTACTCAAAAGACTCACCAGTGACACAGTGACGCTCGAATCAAAAAGTTAAAAGGCCAAATAAAGTACGAAGTTGAATAGCCAAATATTCCGAAAGGTTTAACAAATATAGCTAAGGTAATCTTTTCCTCGGGTAGAAAATCCTAAGTATTTCGAACAATTCAAAGTTTTTAAAACACTTAATTTATTAACATTACCATAATAAAGATAATAAACCTAATTATTTTTCAAAGGAAACAACCACACATACACACCCATAAATATATATATAAGTAGATGTCTTTTGGTTATTTGTGTAGTTGGTTGCTGTCTTGTCAACATTCACCATGCTTTTATACAAAGTTAGATGTATGTGTGTGTGTGTGTGAGAGAGAGAGAGAGAGAGAGAGAGAGAGAGAGAGATTTACCAGTTTCGCAATTATATCCGACATAACCAGGTTTACAGTCACACGTATAGTTGTTCACGTGATCTTGGCAATATCCACCATTATGGCACGGAGAAGACTTGCACTCGTTTATTTCTGTAAAATAAACCGTCAAGGTCTTTGAATTACAATACGAATACAATTATAAATATATATGTATATAGAACATTTTGATCTGTTTAAAATAAAACAAATTTGCATTTCGTTGATATTTGACATTTTTCAACATATATTGAAGTGTAGATTTCAAATCCATACTATTTTCATTTAGGAATAAACACTAAATAGACCGATTGTAACTCAAATGAGGCAATTGTTAATTGAGGCTCTCATTGTGGAGAGCACTAGGGAAAGACTTGTAAAATATTTTAATAAATTTGGTAATGGTTGTTGGTTGATACATGGAATTTTAATGTTATAATTCAACAGGAATGAGAGGCGTTGATTAAACTAGTCATTTGAGATCTCACCCTTCTTTTAAAAAAAAATACTTAATCATTGGCATTAAGGCGACAGTGGTTTTTCAATGTTCAAAGTAAAAGAGGATGCACTTGAAATTACAGTAAAAATCAGTACAGGACCATTACTTCTTCCTGTAAAAACAGTATAATAGATAACAAAATTAATTCAGTTAGCAACAGTACAAACAATAATAATAATACATACTAGTAATATTATACCGTTTTTAATGTATGCTCGCATGTTACTTATATCAAGCTCAAAGTACTTAACCGGCGGATACAGCATCATGCCATCTTACATGTCTATATTCAATTTGGCGAATTTAAAATATGAAAGTCTTTTCCTCGTTGATGAATAAAAACCAAATACAACTAAAAATATATCATCGGATTTTAACTTCTCGCCGTGGCATAGATACACGAATGATAGCACGACGTTAAACAGCACCAAGCAACAACTCAAAAGCTACTTCATTAGTAAGAACTGCTCAGAACCTAAGGTACTCGTTTGGTAGTGGGAATCCTGTTGCTTAATCTATAGTTTTCTGTCTTTTATTTGCCCGACTATTATTTGTTATTGCGTAATTTTTCTTTCCTCTATAGTGCTGTAAGTCCTTCTCCCATATTTGATTCATTGCTCCTTGGTAAAGTTAATTTGTTTCCTATTTATTTTTGAAAATTTAATCCATTTTTACAAAAATAAGGGGTTAACAATGATTAGGAAATGGATGGATATAAGTTAACAGCTTGTTTCCGGGTCCGTTTAATTATTCAATTGTATAAATATGCTCATGCCAAATTGTGCATATCATTTTACTTGAATTCAGTTAATAAAATATGTTGACACAACATATATGACCTTGTAAACCTCTTCAAAAACAAAAATAAAATCCTGCACACACGGTTTTGTATGAATAAAAAGAATCTTCATAATATTGTGCTTGACTGTGTTAAATAAAAGTTACTGTTTTATTAAGTGTTCAGGAAAGAGCATTGTATTTTGAGAAGTTGAGTAAACAACTGATAATAATACCATGCTGACAGTTATAACCATCATAACCAGGAACACAATTACAAGTATAGTTGTTCACCAAGTTATTACATGTTGCACCATTCTCACAAGGATCTCTTGCACATTCGTCAATATCTATGAAAAAAAAAAACAAATTCAGATCTAAAAATCATTTCACATCTTAGAAACAAATATCTTACACGAAACATTTGGATGACAGATTCCGACATTTTTGTTAGCTTTAAACAAACTTAATTCAGTTGAGAACGGTAAGAAAAGTTATCAATTTATATTCCCCTGAATTACAATACCACATAAATACCTTAAAGATGAAAATTGATCGATTTCAATGTAATGTTTGGGTGTTTAAAGGGGCATTAGCTGTCAAATTCATGTTCACCGATTTGACTCAAATTCTCATATTTGATTTATAACATACTAAAAAGTATGTCCAAATTACAATAAGTCTGAAATAAACAGTTAACAATGTATGTATTCGATAATATTTATCAGCATTTCGTGTGTATTTTAGTCTAAACGCCATCTAATTAACCATCGAGATGACATCCGAAGACTGCCGACGGTCACATAACCTGATATAAACATAAACATAAATATAAATAGATAGCGACCTCGAGCAATTGGACTTTTCTATGTCTGTTTGATTTCATGTTATAGGTTAAAAAAATAAGTTAATCATCGTTTTTACCTGTATAAGAATGAGTTTTGTAGATCGAATCAGTCAACGAAATGGTTCACCTTTGTTTTACTTTAAATGTTGACATTTATTTCCTTTTAATGGCTGAACACGACTAAAACATGCGTAACCAATCTCTAGCTAATGGGTTAAATTGAAGGTCACATGAATACGGGTTCAATGAGGTCAAATTATTCATTTGCAAGTGAATAATTCATCAGCGATGTTTCTTTGCTTATTTTGACAAAATTGAACCAAATCGGCTGCTAAATGCGAATTATTATTTTATTATTTCACTTTTATAAATGATTGAAAAAAAGAAATCACATTTTAATTTTTTTATATCTCGTAGCTAATGCCACTTAAGTAGACTAATTTCATCAAAAATGAAAGTATTTTCAGTGACCAAGCTTATAATCGGAAATATAATCGGAAAGCGATAACAGTAACTTGTAAGGCTTTATTTTGGTTTACTTCCCTCAAAATAGTCCGCCTTTTCAGATTTTTCTGATTATCAATTGCAGAGTAAAACCCTGCATATAAATTTGAAGAATGAAATGAAGTGCTATATTAACGATAACGAAGTAATTATACACGGACTGACTGACATATGTATCCTGACATTAAACTCTTTTCAAATTCGTTTCGTTAGTTATATACATTTTTTGGTTCTGTTACTTATATCTGCTTGACATATCCTTTGTATAAATATTCGCGGGAAAGATTAATACTTCGAGCACAGAGAGACATTAATTGCTGAAATGCGCATCTTGGATACGTTTGAAAGTATATTATTTAGCAACAACGCGCCTATTGCATATATATATATTTTCTAACGACCCGAAAGCATCATTAACCCAGTAGACAATGACATGATTTAAAGTATACATTTCTTATATTTTGCGTTGATAAATTAAAATGAAAATATTTTCAAACTCCTCTTGCAAAATTTGTTTTCGGTGATTTTTTATATTCTTCAAGGCCATTTTGGTCAAATACATAATAACCCTTGGATTTACGCACCCTAGGCTTACAGATTTTGCCTTCCTGGTGAAAGTAAATCAAGAAACGCATGAAATTTATAGTGTGTTACCTTTTTTATTTTAGAATTCCCGCTGATGAACGTTTTATTGTATGTTCCCCGTACATAATTCACAATATGAGTAAAAATATTATTTTCTCCTCTCAACTTTTAAAATCAACTATCCTGAACGAAAATAGTCAAAACATATTGAGAACAATTGCTACAACGAAACTAAAAAAAGTTAAAAACCGCAATATCAGAATGATTAAAGAACAAATTTCCAATAAACCTGAAATAACTAATTGAATTTTCTTTTAAGAAGATCTTTAACATTTGTTGCACAGCAAATTAAGTATCTGATGAGTTTAGAATATTATACAATAAAGTAAATTATACAGGACACCTTTATCACAATTTGTTCCTTTATATCCTGGAGAACAACGACATTCATAACTGTTTATACGATCCTCACATGTACCATTGTGACAAGGGTTACTCAAACATTCATCAATTTCTGTAAAATATAGAACTATCACTATTGAGAGCAATATGACAAATGTATGAAAGCATTATAATGAAAAATGATAATAGTTCTCTAATCTATAATAAATTAATCTCGCTATTATAGTGGAAAAAAATACCCAAAGAATTGTCTAAGCAAGATCACAATTGTAATAGTATCACACGGTTTGTAAAAATATTCCTTTTCTTCTATGACCATTGCAGTATGTGTCTTGTCGCCAGTTTTTGTTTGTCATAATGAACATGTTGGTTTCAGTAGTGTAGAAGAACTTCCTGAACTTATGGAGCACATTAGTTTACCCGGGATAGTGGTAGGAGTCTTGCTGCTCGACCTAATTGTTTTGTGATGTGTTATATTTAAAAAAAAAACAACAACGTAGTTATCATTTCTTTATCGACTTGTAAAGTTCTTTATAATGATTGCTCTTTAGTATCTTCTAACCATATGTGTATCTCATAAAAACGAAATTTTAACAAATAATAAGATTATGAAACCGAATTAAACATGTATTTGATATGCTTTCGTTATATAGCCGTTAGATATATCAATAGATCAATTGGCTCATCGATGCTGCGTTTCTTCAGCTTTGTATAAAATAGCCATTAAATTTAATATTTATTCCGATAATAGAGGATTACTAACAATTTTACTTTTTAATGCAACTGATTTTGGAATCTATTAAGTCAATAAACTCAAATTGTTCTGTAGACTAATGTTGATTTTCTTTTTGAAAAAAACCCCATTCGATTAATAATTCTTTGTGCATTCTTCATTGTCAAGTACAGAAAAAAACATGTTCAAAAACAAAAAAGTACGCATGAAAACAAATGAATTTAACCACGTATTTGTTCATACAGTTACAAACCTATGGTACAGTTATAGTCAGTGTAACCAGGCAAACAGGTACATGTATACAAGTTAATTATGTCATTACATGTGGCTCCATTCTTACAAGGACCTCTTGCACATTCGTTGATATCTGTTAAACATAATTGAATTTTCAATCAGATTAGTATGGTGCACGCTCGTGCAAAAGTAATTATTCATAGTTACAATAAATCGAAAAATTTCATACTTTAAATCTATCAAAAATATAATCAGAAAGATTGAAAACATAACATATTGATAACCTGTATGACACATACATACCCGTTTCACAATCAATTCCAGTATACCCGGAATCACAAATGCAAATGTATCCATTGACTTGATCTACACATGTGCCGTTGTTCATACAAGGGTTACCGGAACATTCATTTATATCTGCATACAGAAAATAATTTTATTCTAAAAAGAGATTGCATTATCATGTCTAAAATTATATAACGTAAGAAGAAATGATAGATGAATAATAAGCCTCATGATGAAAATGTATAAAAACAATTTCTTTCATTCTGACCCGATGTAAAAAGCCATTAGCGGGGTATTGGTTATGAATGATACGTGTAGCTGCTTCAAATCGAAGAAAAAAACCCAAACAGATCAAAGTTAGTAAAGGTATCAAATTTTCTGTTTTGAGAATTGTGAGCACCAAATAATGTATTGCACGGAAGGTACCGACACAAGCAGAAGCAGACGTCCTCGTTGTTCTGTGTTTTGTGTTGCAGATATTTATACTTCAAATAAGTTACAGAATACAAACTACTTTTTGGAGACCTGTCTCCGTATACTGTATATAGTATAGAAAAGAATGTATATCATAACATTATACCAATCGCCAGCTTCAAAATTGCTTTCGTATTTTTGACTTAGGTAAAGAAGATCATGATATAATCAGACAAGATAACTATGTTTCAATTCTTCAAAAATCCATAGCATAGACGTCAAATGATTTTTATCATTTAGAATTTTGCTGATTCAGCGTTAACTCCTGCTGTCAAAAAAATACTGTAAAATTAAACGTAACTCCCTGATGGTAAATCAAATAAATTTCCTATATTATGATATTAATATTTACTTATATAACATTACAGAGTACCTGTAGAGCAATTTTTGTCTGTATATCCAGAATGACAAACACAGTCATAATCATCAATTTTGTCTATGCATCGACCACCATATTGGCATGGTAGGTTTGAACAATCATCTATATCTGAAACACATTTGAAGTTGTCGGATCACTATGTCGGCAAAACGAGTTTGAGTACATGTTGACATAATATGCTTTGGCAAATTTATGCCAAATTTTAAGGAAACCAGGTGATGTGAATAATTGTGATTGTTACCTTTTTATGATAATATTCTACTCTTCAACTTCGTATTTTATTTGGCTTTTAAACGTTTGTTTTCGAGTATCACTGATGAGTGTTTTGTAGACGAAACCCGCGTCTGGAGTACACAGTATGCCTAGTATTTATGATGATTTCATTCTAGTATCTTATTTGAAAAAAATATTAGAAGACATAGAGTGTCAGTGATATATGGTTTTTCTTAAAAAAAAATCAATGGCAATATTTCGACCATAACAACTAGTGTTTTAGTTTTAAATCTAATATATATTTTCTTTCTTTTTATTTTGGGATTGATTTATTGCCTTTCCTAAGTAGATAAAAAAAAAAATTTCTTTTATTTTCCTCTCATTTTACTTATTTTGTTTTTAATAACAACTTTTGTAATAATGTGCATGTAAAAAAAAAATCCATAAATATTTGAAATTCTTTTTTATCTTGTTAGTATTTATAGACTTCCCCTTTTTGATTTTTGAATTTACCTTGAAGTTCGTTTATTTTATATACTTTTCTGCTTAAAATTCATTAGCGTAATAGTGAACAATTTACAGAAAGCTACGAAAAGAGGGAATAATGAATGATAATTCGGTACTTACTTCCATCACAATTTCGCCCACTGTAGCCAGGTTGACAGGAACAATTGTAATTATTGATCAAGTCATGACATGTGCCTCCATTTATGCATGGACTACTTTTACATTCATCAATATCTAAAAGTTAAAAAGAAGAATAAGATTAAAAAATAAATTTTAAACAAAAAGCAAAACATTTTCATATAGATGTTAGGATTTATCAAAAAAAAAATATTTTGTTCTTCAAAACTTTTTTGTTATTTTTCAATAGTAAAAGTTAAAAGTTAGTGCAAAATTAGGCAATGATAGGTAGTTAACACGAGAAATTCTTTTATTACTATAAATGTACCTGTTTCACAAAATTTTGCAGTATATCCCGGGGGACACTGACAGACAAATCCGTTCACCTGGTCATGACAGGTAGAACTATGCTGGCAAGGAGTACTGTGGCATTCGTCAATATCTATGCAAAATGGCATTTAATGTAAAATAAGACAAACACAAAGAAGTTATGATCATGTATCTATATATTACAAAGTAAAACGGAATTTGTATGCAAAAGCACTGATACAATTAACTTATAATATATATTTCTGATCCTCTCTTTGTCAGACTTATATATTTTTGTCGACTATACAGATCTGTGTAAATTAATTACAATTGAACACATTTGACATCTATCAAGGTTTACAGATGTAAATAAAGAGTAAAATTGATACTTACTCATGTATTCTACTCTGTTGTTCGATGAATAGCATTCCAATGTCAAGCATAAAACAGAACAGATATACACAGAATTGTTCAACATATGAATATTTTTATGTATATTATTTCTATATATTATCAAGAAGGTCGGGGAAATAGTTGATATAATGTCTTCTGACAGTACTTTCATTTACGTATTCAAAAGACCAATGACATTCAACTGACGGCGAAGATAACTAATTCAAATGATTATCCATACAAACCATGAGAACAATTGTATCCCGTATAACCAGGTAGACAGGTACATGTGTACAAGTTTATCAAATCATTACATATGGCTCCATTTTTACACGGATTTCTGGCACATTCATTAATATCTGTAATGTAAATTTACTGAAATTATTTTCAAGACAGCTTTTAATTTAAAATGAATGACAGTACAGCACATAACGCTGATGGCGACAAATAAATTGAACGGAACGAAGTTTTGCAAAGGTTAAACATATGTACAAAATATATGACGTTTAGATTTTATTTTATTGTGATAGAACATTGATTCTGTAAATTAAAGAACAAATTTCTAATGCCCGTCATGACAATGGGTAGTAAATTTGGAGTATATTATGCAATTAATGCAAAATAAGCAGTTTATAATAGATGGACGGCTGTTTATCGTCCAGAGACAAATTAAAGGCATAATAAGGACAAGAACATGTTAGTGCGATATGAATATGAACCCTGTTTTGTAATAGGCCGACACGCTGAGCCGTATTTTTAACGTGCTAGTTCACAAAGTAGCAGTCCGCAGAAAGATATGTCAACCCTACCCGGACACATTATGCTGACTCCGAGCCTACCAGTCTTTGCTCTTATCCCTTAATGCCGCGTCCTTAGCGGAGAAGCATCAAATACCAGTGTTTGGTTAGATCAGGTTGGAGTTCGAACCCACGAACTCTCACACTCGAGGCAAACACGCTACCACGAGACCACCAAACTCCCATTAAACAAGCAGAAACCAAAAAAATCTTGGGCATCACTTCAAAAAAGCTGCTATGAAAAAAAGTTTTTTGATTATATCCTTAATGTGAACATAAAAGCTGTTCAAGGCAATTTTGTTATAATTCACATTTCCAAAGGTCATAAATGAACCGGCATCTTTGTAATTTTGTCAATTATATAAAACCTTCACGTTTTTTAAGTGTGTGGCACTAATCATACCTGTTTCACAATTTAATCCATTATATCCTGAATCACAATTACATGTATAACCATTTATCTGATCTAGACATGTGCCATTATTCAAACAGGGATTACTGGAGCATTCGTTTATATCTGAAAAATAAAAATGATTGTCACCAAGTATGAAATTGAAGATTGATAAATTATCGGGGGATACCAATTTTCCTGGATTTCCCGTATAGGGTGATACATCGATTTTAAATAATAGACGACATAACGAATCTTAGCTACATTATTAAAAGTAAATAATAAAAGCACGAACTAAGGTACCGCCGAAATAGTGAGCTTTTTACGAATCAGACTTTCTACCAAGGAAATAAAGGAATCCATGGTAACACGAATATTGAAACTTGTAAATCTGGAAATATCTATCTGGGGAAGAATGATCTCTCAGAGCCATGACCGATCGGAAATATAACACTGAACGAATAAACAAAGGGAACATTTATGAACCATAAAGAAGGGGAAGCATTAGTTTAACGAAATTCAAATACAGTAAATCCTTTAGAAATTATAAATCAGATTAATAAACTTAGGTAATTGAATCAATTTCAAATGAGCGAAAGTAGATATGTTAATAGGGTGAGTTTCTACTGATAAGCATGCAAAAACCTCGATGTGACTCTAAATTCGGACAAAACTAATTTCTCAATAAGGAATATGACATATTCTGTAAATTTACCGTTCAGACAACTATTCTGGTATCTAAAGATATAAGACGGCGAAAATATATCACTTATATCACTTATGGGATTAGATGCGAATGGAATTTGATTCGACTGTCATACAAGTGAGAGGTTTAGCGCTATAAAACCAGGTTCAATCCACTATTTTCTACATTTGAAAATGCCTGTACCAAGTCAGGAATATGACAGTTGTTGTCCATTCGTTTGATGTGTTTTAATATTTGATTTTGCCATTTGATTAGGGACTTTCCTTTTGAATTTTCCTCGGAGTTCAGTATTTTTGTGATTTTACTTTTTAGACACAGACAATGTATCAGTCAAGCAATAAGTCGATGAAAGACAGACAGACTAAATCAGGTCAAATTAAAGGCGAAAAGATAAATAACGTTTTAACAAAAGCACTACACAATACATTAAATAAGTAAAGGAAGTACAAACTGATAGTAGAACATCCCAAAAATAAAGCCAAAATGGACACATATTATGAAGTACAAAATAATTCCTCAGTAAATTATTTCTTTAAAAAAGTTCAGACCTAGGATTTTTGTTTTGTTTTGTATAAATTTCTTTAACTTCTGTTAGCAGTCATGTTTCAGATTTTAATGTGATATAAAACCATTTTGCCTTTTGATAAAGGACTCTCCGTTTTGAATTTTCCTTGGAGTTTGGTATTTTTGCTTTTTGACTTTTCATTACTAAATAAAATTTACAAAGACTTCCAAATGTCCAATATTTTAAGCTTCTAAAGTACTAATTAGTCGTATAATTGGTACACCAGACGCGAGTTTCGTTCAGACATTTCTCATCAGTAGTGTTCGAATCAAATTGTTGCAAGGCCCTATCAAATACAAAGTTTAGGAGCATTTAATTGAGGCGACAATAGTTTAACCGATGTTCAAATCTCGTAAATCGATTAGGGAAAAGACAAAAAAAAGGTACTAAATAAAAACCTTAAATTTCGAAATGTGTTGCCAAAATTTGGCAGAGGCTATCTATTCCTGTGGATAGAAAAACTTTAATGTTTCTAAAAATAAAAATGTTTATAAACAGTATATGACTTGTTAACAATTGGGGGCAAGTTGGACTTCTAGTGAACAGCATTTGAAAAGTTATTCATTTGCAGTATTGAATGTTGAATCTTTGTACATGTTTATTTCAGCATGTAGCTTCACGTAAATATAATCACTTTATCTTGAAACGAAAGACCACCCAATGCATTAGTGTAGAAGTTGTTTTAAGTTTTTTTTATTGATATTTATTTGTCTTTTCGACTTATTTTTACTGATAAAAGACATATTTCTTGTTTGTGTGACAAAGCAGTTATTTTCCTGACAAAGTATTTTCATTTCGAAGAGAAAAATTATGCCCAAGAGGGATTTTATAAAACAGTCAAATAGCTGAATTTCATCGAACTGATTAATAAATAATGACTTTGATTAATGTGTACTCAAATTCTCTCTGTTGATTGATAGCGTTTGATTTTGTCAGTTTTAATTGCCTTCTCCTTTTTGAATTTGCCTTGGGGTTCACTATTTTTGTTATATTTTTTAGATCTCATTATTGAAAAGATAATAATAATTAGAAACATACAAACAAACCCGTCATTCATAAAGAAGATAAATTAAATTTAATTTTGATGCTACAATAGAAAAAGCATCATTAGAAAAGTTTCAATTCGAAAGTCAAACATATTGTAAACCTCAGATTATTTCGAAATAAGTATCTAAAATTTAACTTTAAATTTTACATATATATGAAAACAAAATAAATATTAAAACGATAAATTAAAATCCAATTCTGTATTACCTGTGGAACAATTCTTATCTGCATAGCCTGCATGACAAATACAGTCGTAGTCGTTGATTTTATCAATACAACGTCCTCCATGTTGACAAGGCACAGATATGCATTCATCAATATCTGTTGGGGAAAAATGTTGTTTATATCCTTCATAATTCGTTATTTTAATTTATTTCTATAAAGATATTAACTGAAAGTACAATTGGTATGCACACAAGGCTGTTCTGGTCTTACAGCAAACCACTAGCAAGAGAAAAGCCGACAACAGAAACTACGGCAAATCAAGCAATTGAAGTTATGAGATATTCGATTGTATTTGAGTAGTTTTGAAATGAATTTATTGTTGAAGTCAGTTTAGTTCTACGCAAATTAGAATTTTTCTTTATGTAGAAACAAGAAACTAACACAAATGCCTGTACGTTTCTTTGACATATACGATTTCCAGTTGTATCTGTACTTTAAATAATAAATAGTTATGACATTGAATAATACACTGTAATCAATTTAACGAAGCTTACTTCCATCACAATTTCGTCCACTAAAACCTGGTAGACAGGAACAGTTGTAAGTATTTATGAGGTCATGACACGTTCCACCATTTATACAGGGAGCACCTTGACATTCGTTTATATCTGGAATAGATTTCGTATAATTATGTAAACAGATTATGCCTAATTGTTAAATCTTTTAACTGTTGATTAACATGTCACAGCTAAATAATACAGGAATATATCCTTCAACAAGGGAATAAAACAAATAATGCATTGCCTAAAAATCGAGCTTCATAGTTAAAAACGCATGCTAAACGGAGCAACGCCAAAATCAGGTAACTTAACGTTCTGATAAAGTTTGGAAGGGCATATAAATAAACAATTATGGTGGTCAATATGTACACGTTACTGCATTCAGGCATCATATATTTGAAATAGATATAAATCAATTATTTATATATATATATGTTGCAGCCCATATGAGTATCTGGACCGTACGCGTATAGTCATGACCATATGGGAATACTCATATGGTCCGACCATACGCGTATGGTTGGACCATATGAGTATATACTCGTTTGGTTATTAACGGACCGGACCATATAGGTATTTTTCAAATAAATTCAAACTTCTTAACAGACACAGCTCGTTCATTGAACCATAATCGGCACAAATAACAAACTTAAATCATTTATCTTTGTTACATATGGTCTGAATCTTGGTATATTTGTTTTTGTCTTCCTTTTGCTATCTAGAGTCAATTTTAAGCATCTTTATCCTGTCGACAGTTTCGTCCGTATGTGAATCAACAGATATTTGGGGCATGGACATTTTTTTCTTTTTCCCCGGCGTTAAGATTAGATATTTTTTAATTTCTTCTAATTTCCACTTATTTTCACTGAACTGATGTGTTTATACTCTTATTCATACGATCTTATAATAACAGTGGTTTCTACATAATGACAGAGGGACAGCACGTATAAACTACTGTAATTGTAACTCCTATACAGAGGAGCATGAACAAATTAAATAACTTCAAATAATTTGAAATGTTTAAGAAATTCTAATTTACAAATAAACAATAGAAACCACAAAATAAAGAGAAAAGAAGGATTCAATGCTCCAATTGCTAATGTTTAAAACAGTTGACTTCTTGCTTAGCAGTTCATTTAGTTATTTTTGGAGTCGACATATTGTGTTTCGTAAAGATAAACTAATAATGACCATGCAAAATTGCTTCTACTTTAATTTTAACTTGTGAGTATTACAATGATTACCAAATTATTATCTACGTCAAAATTTCATTTTTAAAAACTTCTAATTTATGACACCTTGAATGGTTATGACTTATGCAATAACTGTTCATGACCATACGCGTATGGTCAAATTCTCATATGGTCCGGAACATATATATATAACTTTGCAACGATTTCGTTTATTTCCTTTTTTGATTTTGGGGTACTTTTTGTTTGTTTTTGTTTTTGTTTGTTTTAATGGGTTTTGTGGCTGATTAGCTATATAATTGAAATAACATCTGAATTATAATAATACACGTTTTGCTGACGGACCACACTTCTTTGCCTATAGTGAATAGCTGTTTATCTTACAAGATGGTCAACTATTATAAATGGAAGTTATCACCTATTTCACAGAACGTCCCGCTATATCCTGGTACACACTGACAGCTGTATCCATTAACCTGGTCGTGACAAGTAGCGCCATGTTGACAGGGAGAACTATTGCATTCATCAATATCTGTACAAAATGAAAAAAAAATATATTTAGTTTGCGGGTATAATCATACATTTTCATTTTTTTTAACCTTGTATGAATAAGATTATACACTTTATGATACTTTTTCTAAAGATCTATTTGAATTTTGTCAGTAAAAAGATCGTTTATGTTTGCATTTTCTTATAATCAATATCATTTGCTAATTTTTTTCTACACATGTAGTTCTCTTTATCCGTAAAGCACTTTCCTTTTCGATGAAAGGTTATTTTGGGGGTTCCTGTAGGATAATAAGAGGTCAAGTTTCACTTACTCCGAAGTGTTTTTGTGTAAAAAAAAGAGGGGGTTGAAATGTTGTATTTTACAACAAATGTTTTAGAGGGCTGGGATCAATTTGTTGAACATAGAATTTGCCTAATCTAATCACGTATTTGTGCAATACAAAAATATTACTGTAGGTATCTATGATGAGTATTTTTACACCTACAGAACAGGAATATTTTTGTATTGCACAGTCATTGATAACATTAGAGTTGGCCATTATATATTTTTTTTATTTAAACAAATAATTGCTGCTATCATAGTAAATACAAGAACTTCGCGACATCAATCTTATAAATTTTGTGAATATCTAACCCTTATCACCATTAACTTAAATTCACAAATGTCAAGTACTTTCCTTGACATTAACGCCATAAAAGGAGGCAGAATTATAATATATCATTTAAGAAATTGAAACACATTTCAAAATGACAATTTCATTCCTTAATTTGAGTAGAAAAAACTGTCATGCTCTACGTGTCTTCAAATTATTAATGTATTGAGATACTTTAAGCACAAGCAATACAACAAACCAAAAAAGTTAGAGAAGATACGATGCGCGCTGGCAAAGTGCAATATAAGATATATTTTGAAACAAGTTAAAAGAAAGTAGTTACTTAAAAGTGTTAGTGTGGTCGGGTTGTTTATTTTTATATAATGTTATAATGCTTTTTCATCTCCCACATATCTTGTATTGCACAGTTTATTTTTATGTAATATAAATATGCGGAGGATACACAAAAGATACAATCTAGCATTTGTCTTTAATAAATAAACACTGACGATTGTCGTTTGAATCATGAGAATACTCATCTATGAAGGGAAACTTATTAAAACTGATAGTAAGAAAATACAAAGTATGACGCCCATACTTTTTCTTTTTCTTTTCTTTTACTTTTTGCTTATTAAATTAATTTCAAAAGTGTTAATCTTTGCTGCATATCATCGATTATTTTGGTATTGTTTCCCTGAACTTCTCTGATCTAGCTGCATGCATATACGGATAATTGGCATGTTTCAGAGAGGTATACAGTCAATAGTTGGTAGTTCAGAAATATTTTTCGCATAGCAACATTTTAAACCAGATTTACCCACATCTTCTATATCCTGCTGTCTTCGTTGTTTGCTATTGTTGGAGGGAAATCATAACATTATATAAAAATGTCGTTTTCATCTCAATTTATTTTCATTTTTAGTACTTAACAGAACATTTTCTTGTGAATTTATTGTTAATAGCGTCCTTGTTTAAACGGGACATACAATGAGAAGAAAACATTCGCACGGAAGGTAATATTTTGACATTAAATTTCACACTGGGTGTATGTGTAAAATATCTATTTCAAGTTTCCTTCATTACGGAAATTCTGCGTGTTACATTCTATATATAAATAAAAAGATGTGGTATGAGTGTCAATGAGACAACTCTCCATCCAAGTCACAATGTGTAAAAAGTAAACAATTATAGGTTAAAGTACGGCCTTCAACACGGAGCCTTAGCTCACACCGAACAGCAAGCACACTTGTAAAAAGCGTGAGAGGTAGTTACGTCATTTAACAACACATCAATATATTGGTCTGTCTGAAATTATGTAGGGTTTTATAATCAAAAAGATTAAAAAGAGCTTATAAAAGTAATAATACAAATATGCATTTAAATTTGAATCAAAAATAAAAAACTTACCATGAGTGCAGTTATATCCTGTGTAACCAGGTAAGCATGTACAAGTATATGAATTAATCAGGTTATTACATGCTGCGCCATTTTTACATGGACCTCCCGCACATTCATTTATATCTGGAAATAAAAAACATAACTATGCTTTGGTTGAACTGTATTTAATCTTGATTAAAATTCGTAAAACAGATGAAACAACACACAGGGTAGTTATAGGCAAAATATAAAAGTAAACAATTGGACATTTTCTTACACGACAAAAGCGAGCACATTTTGACCCTGCTGATATATGAGTTTGAGTTCATACATGAACTTCTTATGAAGAATGAAAACAGTCTAGGCTAGCAACATCCTTCAACCTCTCTTGCCACTACATAGATGATGTCTTGTCACGAACTAATTCAAAGTTTCGTACCATGACTTGCATCTAAAATTTGAAAAACAGTGATGATTTCAGCTTTCCATTTCGATGTAGCAACATTCCAGGATAGCCTTCATATGAAGTATATATTTCACTAGCGTTCCCTATCATGCTTAACAATAATAGAGGATTTCTGATTACAAGGAATATAATCAAACTAAGATCTCAATTGTTAAAGTTGAAGTCTTCCCTTCGAACGTTCTTGACTTTTGTTGACCATTATTCAAGATATATTTGTGTCACTAATGACATATGGTATGTTTTAATATTCATCATTACAATCTTTTTCCCGCGATTCCATCACATCATCGAATACTACTTTTTACCGATTGTTTATATTCCATAAACACATAAAGGTTGCCACTACTGAAGGAAAATGTTCTTACCCTTTCGGATCACATGAGATAAACTCGGATTGTTGGTGTTCGTTTTTATGTAATGATATACACTGCGCACGTAAAACTGGATCACAATTTGTGGATATGTCCAGCCAGGCTGTCTGGACCATAGTTTGTACGTTTGTGTTCATTTTGTTTTGTCGGTAAACGGGTGCTGTTTTTTTTGTTTGGTCTGTTGAATTGTTCAATATTCTTACTGTTTCCTGTCATTCTTTTTATGTACTATGAAGTGAAACAGTCATAATATAATGACATCCACCACAGTAAGTGAGACCATCTGCATCAACAGGATATCTTCTATGGTTAGTGCATTACCTCACACATATAACATATGACGTTCAGATATTTAAGGGTTTACAATGCATAGTGTGAACCATGTCAATAGCTAATTGAAAGCATATTCCTATCTTATTTGAGATATGGTGAAATGGTACGACATGGAAGTGACATCAAAATATCTATAACGTTTATGAGACAAATCAAATCATAATCCACTATTAGAACGAAATACAATATCTATTCTTGAAATTTTCGATTAAGCGTTGCACTAAGTCTCTTCCTGATAGCTAACATCGGTAATAAAATAAGCTATAATAGCAAAATATTAACACCAAATTATAATACATATGCATTTGAGGAATAATTGTTCACGTCTGTTAAACAGAATAACAAAGCTGAAGTTTTGAACAGTGTATGAGTACATACACTATATATTATATCGTACTAACCGGTTGCACAATTAATTCCAGTGTATCCTGCATCACAATTACAAATGTACCCGTTGACTTGATCCACACATGTACCATTGTTCATACAAGGGTCACTTGAACACTCATTTATATCTTAGTATAAATAAATATATATAAATATAAATTAATTATCCATTTAACAGATAAACATATATAATTTTGAATATGAACCCGTCTTTTATTCATATTTATTTCAAGCGTCACAAAAGTTATTCAATATATCCCTAGTTAAATGTTCATAGTTGATATTTTGAGAATATTTGCTTGAATACCATGAAAAACGATGCATTGGTAATGTATAACGGTGTTTTCTGGACAACGATTATTTTTCTTATGCTTCAAACGGACTAGAATTTTGGTAGACACAATTTAATTTCACAAAATGCGCATCGAATGCACCAATAACTGACATCTTATAATCTCTGTAAATTGAGTCATGAAATAATCCAAGCAGCTGGGGTTTTCAACTTAGGTACCAATTAGTTTTGGGGTTTTGTTGCTCTATCTTTATTTTCCTCTATTTTGTTTTAAAGAGCTGTTACTTGTCTTTTTTGTATGTTTATTTTGGCCATTTGGTTTGTGTGTCCTTCTACGACTTTGTGATTGTCTCCTCTGTATTTCCTATTTTTATTTACCTGTAGAACAGTTTTTGTCATTATACCCAGAACGACAAATACACTCGTAATCATCCACTTTATCTATACATCGACTCCCATGTTTACAGGGTCTACTCAAACATTCATCAATGTCTGTTGAAATAGAGGAATGAAGAATTATATAAAAAAGTTGAATGAAAACATCAACAAATAACATAAAAATTAAGTGTAGTAAAACTGTATTCAATTTGATATAACCGCGTAAAGTATCCGAAACAAATTTCTCCTGATGGGCATTGCTCCGAGTATCTCATTGTTAGATATCGACCTTATCCAATAAAATTTGCTCTTGCTAAAGCCCTATACTGTAATCAATTTAATAAATATTGTTTTCGGGGTGTGCAAAAGGGAATCTAAGTTGATCGACATATTGGTCGTTAATTTTCAAAGTAATCACGTAGTTAATATTAGAATAGTGTGAATACCTTAACTGATAGTCTGAAGACATATACATATAATTATATGATATATTTAACTGCCTTTGTTAAAATAGATATGAAAGTAAAAACTTTTTCACTTTAAAAAACTGCAAGTACTAGTATCTCATTTGTATTTGTAGTTTGTTGACACATTTATTACCTCCATCACAGTTTCTGCCACTAAAGCCGGGACGACAGCTACATTCATAACTATTGACCAAATCATGACAGCTGCCACCATTTCTACATGGTGAACTATTACATTCGTTGATGTCTGAAATAATGTACGTTGTCAAAACTTCTCTCAAACAAATGATAAAAATTTGATTTGTACTTTCAAAATAATGGCATACACTTTAGTTTTTAACATTTTGGCTATCGATATAACAAAAGCACAAATGAAAACTATATCGTAATCAGCGTTCATGGAGAATAGAGCCTAAACAAAACAAAAATTCAATATTTACCAAGGATCAATTTTACCATAGTCCTATCGTTTTTTCAAAAACCTACCAGAATAGTCCTCAGAAGTTAACAACTAAATGGTCACCGTACGGCCTCCAACAATGATCAAAACCCATACCACATAGAAAGCTATAAAAGGTCACGAAATGACAAATGTAAAACTTTTCAAACGAGAAAATAACGGCCTGATTTATGTACAAAACAATGAACGAAAAACAAATATGATATACAGCAACAAACGACAGCCACTGAATTACAGGCTCCTGACTTGGGACAGGCACATACAGAATGTGGCGGGGTTAAACATATTTGAAGGTGCCAACCCTCTCTCTAACCTGGGACAGTGGTGTAACGGCACAACACAAGAACAAACAAAACAATAAACGAAAAAACAAATATAAGAAACAGCAAAAAAACAACCACTCAATTAAAGGCTCCTGAATTTGGACAGGCACATATAGAATGTGGCGGGATAAACATCTTTACTGGCGCCAAGCCCTTCCCTAACCTGGGACAGTGGCACATTTAAACATTGGTAAATTAAATGCATTGAATATATCTGTAGTCACTGTGGAAAATGTCATTGCAAGAATTCGTCTGATAAAATAGTAAATCCAGAAAAGCAGTTTGGGCTCACAAAAATAAGTGTTATTTTCATTTTATAGCACTATGTAGATACCTCTGTTTAAAGACTGATAGACTCCAATGGCATCATTAGTTCAGAAGTCAGTGCTTACATTTACAACTTTTTTAAATTTCTGTTGATTTTTTGAAAAGCTAAAGTTCCTATAGCCTCAGGCATATTTGACTTCAGGGTTATTTGTCTATACGTTTTAGGTCTCTTTTGATCATATAGCTCCTCAAAATTCAGTATTTATACATCATTGAATTTCAAATGAATGTGTGTGCCAGCTTTTATGATGTAAAGAAAGGCGCGACAGGCGCACGTAATTTAGACTTATTTTAAATTTCTCATATTCTTGTCCGGTTTGGCTTTACATTTTTTCCTTTTTGGTTATTTCAGATCTATTGGAAATTGTGTTCATATATTTTCTCACCTATTTCACAGAAGGTTCCAGTATACCCGGGCAGACAGTGACAAGTATAACCATTGACCTGATCATGACAAGTGCCATTATTTTGACAAGGAGAACTACCACATTCATTTATATCTGTAAAAAATAGGACATCAATAACTGTACTTTCATAAAACAATCTTCAATGAGAAAACGCAAGTCACATTGTCCTACTTTATACGTAAGTTATCTAGCAAGCACAAAATATTTAACAACCGTAATGATTTTCTGTAAGATTTAGAAATCTGATCTTTATTGTATCCCTACTTTCTATTGAAGTATACTATTTCCATAGTGTATAACATGACATAGAAATGAATAAATATATAAACCAAGAATTCAATAAGTATTGGTAATTACATTAACTTCACGAAGAACGTTCCATACCTGTTTCACAATCATAGTTGGTGAATCCTGGCATGCAATCACATGTGTAAAAATCCACGTGATCTCTGCAGGTTCCACCATGTTGACACGGAGTACTTAAACACTCATTTATATCTGTAATATCACCAACATCAATTATCAATTACCAAAATGCGTTAAGATACAATAGTTTTAATATTCATATATATATAATATGATCTACGCTTTCTAACGTCCCCTGTAGTACGTTCACACCTTGAATTTTTTTCAGCCTTTATAGACCTTATTTGTAATCATATTTATACAATCTAATTCTAAATTCTGCTGTTAAAAATACTATAATTTATAATATATCATAAATACGTTGATCTGTCGTGTACCACTTCAGAATACGACGTTTCATCGGATTTTTTCTTGCAATTATCTAGTGCCAGCACAAATTGCTTACCTTCTTGAAAACTTGAGAAAAACACCTACTCTTTTACACACTTTCAATGTTTAATAAAATGTTGATTGTTAGTTTACTGTTTGTTTTCTTATTGATATATTTTTTTTAAAGAAAAATAAGAAAACAAAGTTCCAATGTCCCCCGCGTTGCACATATCATATCTAACCAAGGTACAAGGGCAATAACTAAAAAAAGCACTTGTTTTGTTCTATAAGACTTTTTATTAATATCTTAGAGAAATGAAGGCTTCAGAGCAAATGCAATGTGATTTCCATTATAATTAATATTTCCAAGGGGAATACTCGTTAAAAATATTTTTTGTCAGCTAATGTTCCTAGACACAGATAACAACGAGAAAACCTTGTATAAATGACCTAGATCAAAGAGTCTGAGCTATGTTTGCTGTTAATAAAACACAAGTTGAGTAAAATGTCATTTATTCAGAAATTAATTTAAAATGCAACTTACATCTTAACAATTATAATAGTACTGCATAAATGACAATGACTTTAATAAGCAAAGGTGGGGTTGAAAAAGTGCCACACCCTAAAATAATAAACATCATAAAAATGACAAAAATAAAAGTGAGTTGAAAAAATTAACTCACCAACATATATATATACAAAGTATATAAACAATACAATGAATATTGTCCTTAATTGATGTTTAAAGAAAAATAAATGTCCTATATAATAACGCTTAAAAGGGAGGGAAATGGGAGGGTTTTCAGATAAAATTCAAAAACGATCTTTTCTCTCTCCCAAAACAAAGGCGAATGACCGCATGTCCGAGCACATGTAGAAATTTGATATTAATTACCGATCTCAAGAACTGACCAATCAGATAATGTAATTAGATGATCATGCATTGAACATGCAGTCCTTGACCTCATGTTGATATACTTAAACAAAGAAATGCCTTCTTACACACATGGTATTAATAAAATCAATATTATCGGAAATTCCAGCCAAAAAGTCTTTTATTTACAATAAATGTTATGATCAGAACTTATTTTCGAAAGTGTTAAAAACACTGCTGATATAAATAAAGAAAACAGTAGTATACCGCTGTTCAATAATCATAAACCTATGATATAAGCTTCATAAAATTCTGGCAAGAATTGAACTTATGAGAGCGCTAATAATGCAATTTTCCGTATAATCAATATTTCCAAGGGGCTTAACTCTTTCAAAAATAATTGTTCGGCACTAATTTTCGAATTCGTCATTTTTCATAAAAATCTGGCAAGAATTGCACATATTAGACCGCTCATAAGGCAATTTTCCATATAATTGATATTTCCAGGAGGCATAATTCTTTTGAAAATAATTGATCGGCACTTATTTTCAAACTCATCAAAGACATTGATGATATAAACCTATGATTTAAATTTCAGAAAATTCTGGCAAGAATTGTACACACGAGAGCGCTAACAATGCAATTTTCCATATAATCAAGGGGCATAACTCTTTAAAAAATAATTGATCGGGACTGATTTTCGAACTTGTCCAAGACATTGCTGACATAAACCTATGATATAAGTTTCATAAAAATCTGGCAACAATTGTACATGTGAGAGCGCTAACAAGACCGGACGGACGGACGCCCGGTATTTCTGTGTCCCCCGCAACGCGTTGCGCGGGGGACAAAAAGGTTCCAACGCCATCAGTGAATGTTGACCTTACTTTTTAATTTGGCAATTTTTAGGTCCATTTTGGCCATATAGTTTTTCACTTGTTTAGGTACTAATACTCCCGATGCATTTAAATTTTGGCTTTGAACGTGATGACGGTAAATCCAGAATGAGCTTAAACCGCATAAAATGTATTAAGTATTATTTTAATATAAGGATCTTTTCCCGTTTTCACTTGAAAAACAAACGCGAAATAACGCAAATTACATTATATATTTCACTGTTTCATTCATACAGTTCAATTTGAAATTATAATAGTCAGTAAATAAGAACTAAACAACTGTACAATTTCTTTTGACTGTTACCTGTATCACAGTTATAGCCGCTGTAACCAAGGAAACAGGAACAAGTGTAACCATTTACATCGTCTGTACAGTTACCATGACGACATGGAGAACTTACGCATTCGTTAATGTCTGTCAGTAAAAAGATATAAAACTAGCTATTATTATTATAATGACGTCAATTAAACTTGAAAGAAAAAGACCACATGTCAGACTTATCAATCAAAGTGTAGACAACATGAATTTTCCAGTGTTTTATCCTTTTAACCATTAATTTTTTTTTAAGTAATCACTGATACCTTAATTCAGACTAAACAGGAATTTAAGATGTATTTCTGGTATTTGTTTTGATTATTTGAAATAAAAAAATAATACCATACTTACCCTTTCCTGATGTTCTTTTTTTTTTCAAGTTTGTCAACACCAAGCATAAAACAGATCGTGTGTATGTAATATATTGTCTGAATAATTAATCATGTCTAGCTAAAAAAATAAAAGAAGATTTCAAGCTGAAAGAATCGTATATCAAGTGAAGTGAGATCCGGCAATATGTATTTAGAGAGGTAACATAAACGAATATGTTGCATGCACCTTATACTGCATACATATATAACATACCAATCTGACAGTTATACCCGGTATATCCTTGTACACACATGCACGTATATTTATTTATCTGGTCAAGGCAACTCGCACCATTCAAACACGGCATGGATAAACATTCGTTGACATCTGTAAAAAGACCAATCGTTCATATTCAAAGGCACAGTCTTAAGTGATATATTTACTAAAATCAAAATTTAACATCTTTACCTTCATTGCGAAATTATGGTGTCTCTTGTCTTGATACTAGTAAAAAATATTTTATAATTTTTAGTGTTACTGTGTGATAAAGTTGATCTAACAAATCTTATAATATTTGACAAGTTTCATTCACTTTCATCCTAAATAATAATCAATTATATTTAAATATGATTATTTAAAGGAGGAAACACGCTTATTTGATAGTAGCTTCATTTATTTTCCAAGAAGATAAACTTACCAGTATCGCAGTTATATCCAGTATAACCTGATTTGCAGGAACAAGTATAGTTATTTATCAGATTAGTACAACTACCGCCATTTTGACATGGTGATCTATAGCATTCGTCAATATCTGCCGAAAATTAAAAAAAATAATTCCAAAATGAGCCAGCAAGTACATGTTTGTTTGATTATTCAAATTTACAGAGACGAAGGAAAAAGTCTGGATAATTTCATTTGAAGGGACTAAGGTTCTTACTATTGACTATTCACAAGAAAATAATGCTCACTAAATTAGAAATTTTGAGTTGTGACTTATTATCAGAAAGTTATGGAAAGTGCTATGAAAATTGGGTTAATTAGCTCAGAAGTTTTCAAGCCAAATAAAGTCTTTCAAAACAAATTTTCGTCCTCAAATAATACAGTATATAAAAATTTTGATACATTAATGTTAGTTTTCAGAACCCAAAACATAGCAAATGGTATAGATTTTCTAAAGTTGAACATGTTAAAAAATACATGAGATATTCGAAAATTGAACACGTTAAAAAATACACGAGATATTCTAAAGTTGAACTTGTTCGAAAATACATGAAAAGTAAGCAACACGAATATAAATCGTAAAATATATATTAATATACCTGTCCCACAATTTTTATCAGTATACCCAGGAATGCATGCACAGTTGTAGCTATTTACTTGGTCACTACATGTAGCACCATTTCTGCATGGATTTGGTATACAATCGTCAATATCTAAGGCAAGGACAAAATATTATCGTGCAAAACAAATATCAAACTATATCCTTTTTATGTAACAGACACTTTGTTGACTGTTTGTTTGAGAAATGAGTTATGCAATAACAATTCTCTTGAACACCCTGCAAATACACTGATAATATATCTATACAGGATACACATTCGAATCACAGATCTGCCGGATAATCCATTTAGTTCAGTATTTTTATTATTTTACTTTTTACATTTATGTTAGAAATACAATAATGACATCCCTTTCACATATGGATACTACACTTGTATCCTAATAAACCGCGATATAAAACTGTATCTTTCATATGTACACAAAATCTCTTTCAAACTCGCAGCATTTTTCTCAAATTCATTAAGGAAGTTTTGTAATCCGGTCTGCTTTGCTAGTGTGACACAGATAAAGATTCTTAAAAACTCAAAATGTTGATATGCTTTGAATCAAAGGACATTCCATTGTGTAGTAGTATTCATTTTTTTTCTTCACTTCAATAAACTATTATAAAATAAAAGGTGGTCAAACATTTTAATTGCAGTGAGAACTAAGTGTGTCGGTAAGACACGAATGCCTCCGCATACAGCTAATCGCGAAAGATGTATTTTTTTCAAACAGTCGGTCGACGAATGATAACGTCTGAGCGAGTACATTCTAATGAAATTTCTTCCAAGGGCCATAATATTGTCAAATATTATTTAACAAGAACGAAACAAAAACATGATCTGTAAGTCATGATTAAACATAACTGTTCCAAAATTCAAACCGATATCTGCCGACATAACGAAAATTTCTCACAAGATATTGTCAGAAGCTTCAGTTTTTACCGTCATTGTTGATTACGATGGCCAGTTTACATTTTATAGGATTGGCATTACTGGCATTAATTTAATTGTGAATTGCTCGTTGTGGATGAGTTTTGTAATCGTATAAAACAGAATATATCAAATTGAAATATGAAGAAATAGTAGGGAGCTACAGTTTTTACAATGCTTCAGCTGATCGGCTAGAAATCCACGCTCTACCACATTACGTTCCTGACGCCAGTTGGGTTCTTGATTTTTCATTCAAATCAAAGATCGTCTTCATGATTATTTTCATACTCATTTTCAAAACCTTATAACATTTCTTCATCTTCAGTTTTAGGCATGGTGTTATTTCTCAGAGAAAATAAATACTTCCCACAACCAAATTTATCGTAGTCCAGTTGAAAAATTGCCTGTTGCATTATTGCAAAATCTAGTCAAAGGGACAAAAATCGTACAAAAACGTCGAAACATTTTGCGGAATCCGCTAGACGGCGTTCATTTACTGAAACTTGACCTTAATAAAAGTTTCAAGATGTACTTCAAACTATATTTAATCAATAATCTACAGCTCACAAATTCGCTTAAAATATAATTATTATCAGAGCTTGCATAATAGCTAGAATCGAGCCTATCAAAAGGCACAAAAAGACGTTTTATTAGCCTGGTATCTCAAATGAAATTCAACTATTTAATGTGATTATGTTAGTCTTTAATCAGGAAATTCAATATACCAGTTTCAATGTATTTCTGTTCTTACTTGAAAGATCACTACCACGGTCGTCTTCTCAGTCAAGATTAAATCTAATCATAATAATTTTATAACTTCTAATTTTTACTGTCAATCCAGATTCGGTTAATGCAGCAGATTAAGGTGTTACAAATCATAGACTAAATGATTTACGTTCTTTGCCGATTTAGAATTTTTCAAATATATCTCATTGTCAACTTCGGCAGCTGAGCAATACGACGGAAATACTTTTGAAGCAACTGATTTCACTCACAGTTTCTTTTATTTGTTTCAAAAATATCACACGGAGCAAGCTTCAAGAGGAGCACAGTATTGCAATCAGTTCTATTTTTGTTGTGTTCGCTGTCGTATATGTTTATTTTTTGTCGACTGTATACCATATGAACAAAAGTGGAAGTGGGGTATAAGTCAACGAAACAGCAATCGAACGACACAAATAACAAATTAATTATCTGGAAAGCAACATAAATTCACCACAGATACAGTTAAGTCTCATATCTTTACTTGCAATTAAAAATTGAAAATGAGAGTTGATTGAGAATTTTACTCTATGACAAATAAAGACAACAGTAGTATACCGCTGTTCAATAGTCATAAATCGATTTAACTGAAACAAATCCGGGTCACAAACCAAAACCGAGGGAAACACATCAACTATAAGAGGAAAACAACGGAACAACATAAACACTGAACTGCTACAAAAACAAACGACAACATACATAGAAACGGACTATTCCTGACTTGGTACAGGACTTCTTAAAATGGTAGGTTGAACCTGTTTTTATGGCTAGCCACACCCCGCTTATATGGTAATGTTAAAAATACCGCTAAAATGACAACATTACGTGACTGGAATAAATTACAACAAAACGCAAGAACACTCAGGACAGAGACATACATACATAAATAATAGAATATAATAGTACATTACAACATGTAAACCACAGAATAACAACGGACACCTCCCATTTACACCACAATAGAATTATGAACTGTGCGTCACACGTATGTATCAAGGCCACAAAAAGTGACGTCACAGTTTAATTTCTAAAAATAGAATATAAAATTGGGATTTCGTTTGTAATGGTGTTATTTTATGTATTTTCTAACCATTACAAAAATATAAATATATAATTGTGTTAGTAATGGTGTAATTATTTGTATTTTCTAACCGGTTTTTCTTTAAGTTTTCGTATTGTTGGCATTCCTTTTTTCTGTAGCTACATTCTAGCAGCGCCTACATATGGAGTAAATATAAGCCAGAGCTTGCGTTCCATATCATGCTTTCATTGATAGAGGGTTGCTGCTTGGAAGGAAGCAAGCATACCAAGGGTTCCTAGTGGTAAAATCATCACTTTGAAAGTTATGCGGACGCCCTCATACATGGTTGACCGTTATGAAATATCTGTGTCACAAATGAACACCAATATGTTTAAACTGTCGTAGCCAAAATCCGTTCTTCTTCCTCGATTATGACATCACTATATTACACTTATCACCAAATTAGTACTTGCCATAAACAACACGAAGGGTGCAACATATGAAGAGGATTTGCTAACCTTTCTGAGCACCTGAGATCACCTCGGTGTTTAGTTGGGTTTGGGGTTTTTAGTCTTTAATTTTCTATGAAGTGTTTTGTATGTTGCTATTTGGTCTTTTTGTCGTTTTTCTTTTTCTGCCAAGGTATTGACGGTTTTACCTCGGCTTATGAATTTTCATTTCCCCTTTTGGGTCCTGCACTTCTTTTTTACAGAGTTAAAAAAAGGCAGGTGTCTTCAGATCAGGCGGAGCAGCTAGCTTAAGAGAATTTCACTGAAGTATGTTTGATTTTCTGTTGAGTATTTATCATTTCGAGACAGCTAAAGAAACAACTGAAGGAAACTTAACGAAAACCCTTAGGTACAGACTATTATTGTATAGATTACATCAAGGGTTTTACCTGTAGAGCAATTTTTATCAGTGTATCCTGCAAGACAAACACATTCGTAATCGTTCACCTTATCTATGCATCGTCCACCATATTGGCAAGGGATACTAGAACATTCATCGATATCTGAAGAAATGTATTACTCTAAAATAAATAAACCTAACAAGAAAATAGAATTTTAATATTTTCACAAAAATACTGCCAATATGCAGGAGAAGAGTATGATGAATATGTATGTTTAAATTCAAAATGCATTTCTATTAATGAGCAAGAAAAAAAAAAAACAAACAAAGGCTTCCAATCACATAGAGTTGATTGATTATTTACCAGATACAACTAAATATTTTGATTTATTACTCAGCTGGCTTACTGTCATACAATTAAAATTAAAAAAAAACAGTGACTTAGGCACCATTCCTTTAAATTTATAACGTTTTGAAAAGACATAGATATCTTTAGCCGCATTTATCATTTCTAAAATGTAAGGTTTTCAGTGCTCTTCAACTTCGTATTTGATTTGGCATGCAAACTGTTCGATTTGAGTCGTCTGTAGTCGAAACGCGCTTCAGGCGTAACAAATTATAAGTGTGGTATCGTTGATGAGTGTGTCTTACCTTTTTTTTTAATCAGAGAAGAGATACAGAGAATAAGTCAGAATAGGAAATTGCCTTGGATGGTTTTGTCATTAGATCAATCGGAACGAAATAGATATTCTTTTTTAATTGCGACGATTGCTTTAGACTGGAGAAGTGTAAAGATACGAAAACAAAAATATTTTTAAAGGACATTGCACATCAGGTTATATTATGTTTATTAATACATCTTACTTGTATGACAATGTCTTCCTGTATATCCAGGTGCACATGTGCACTTATAATCGTTAACCAGGTCAGAACATGTTGCACCATGCTCACAAGGCCGGCGTAAACATTCATTAATATCTAATTGGTAAAATTCAAACATATAATCTAACAATTTAGGATATGAACGTTCTGAACAATTTAAATATATACACAAAATATCTCGTTTAGATATAAGATAATTAAATGCTGTAAATGCTCTTTTATAGTGGTATTTGTGAATCAAATAAACATGCACGTTCTATTGTTACTTCAATAACCGCTGTCATTACCTAGAAGTGTCGGGACGACACCAACGCCCTAGCCTACAGCAAAATTCAAAGAGTCATAATTACAGAACTTACCGTTATGAATAACAAATCAGCACAATGTCAATAGTCCCAATTACTTGCTATTGTTAGCAATTACAATTAATATTGCTGCTTATTGCTGTATTAAACCAAGAGTTTCAATGAAGATAGTTGAAGCCATCACGTCCAAAATTATATGGACACCATCACCAGTCGATTGACTGTTATGGAATATCTATTTCAGAGATGACAATGGATATGTTATAATTGTCGTAACCATAATATCATCCTCTTTCCCTCGAATGTGACATACCTGAATGAGACTTATCACCGAATTTGAACTTACATGATCAACACGACGTTGCCAGTTTCGGTGTTAACCCTTCGGGAGCACCAAATATCCCCCAGGGTTTTGGTGGGGTTCGTGTTGCTCAGTCTTTAGTTTTCTATTTTGCGTTTTGTAGACTGTGTTTGTCTTTTCGTTGTTTTTCGTTTTTTTGCCATGGTGTTGTCAGTTTGTCTTCAACTAAAGAGTTTGAAGACCCCTTTGGTATCTGCCGCCTCTCTATAATCTAATTCAAATTTAAAATTGTTCGTATGTTTACCATACATAATTTATTACAAAATGTCAGGAATATGAAATGAATTGGTAGGACGGATTGTGTAAGACCATTCATCAAAAAACATCTGAGTAATTTTCAAAAAGCTCGCTCAAGGTAGCACAATACAAAGATTTTTTCACCCCCAATCAGACAACTTTAAACTGATGTAAATTCTTTCATCCAGCTTTAAATATTATAAATGAGGTACCAAAAGAAAGAAGAAAGATTTATCTTTCAAATGGTGATTATTGCATTATGACATGATTATTACATAATTAATTATTATGTAATTAGTTGCTACATTGTGATGTCCACACTTGAATGAAATTAGCTTCTTTGTTATTCATACCATCCCAAAATATTTTATAGATTCCTGTGAAACACAGTTTGACCTCCAAAAGGGTGTCTCAAATTTTTCCTATTGTATTTCATTCTCTCATAAACCCTCAATGAAGTTTGCAACCTCAATTCATAAGAGATCACTAAATTAAATTGGGTATAAAATTTGTTCTATTGATGTTTTTGGAAATCTGAGACACCCTTTTGAAGATAACTGGTCAAGGAACAACATGTGTGAAATCAGGCATATAGGGGCACCCATCTAGCAGCTAATTTCATTTAAAACTACATTTTCCTGACAAAAATGAATGTGTCACAATTGAATAAATAAGGATTTTCCTACTTGTACCCCATTAACTTCAATATAATTCACACATGTATCATGGGGATACTTCAGGATTGGCTTTTAATCATAAATCAATTAGGTTTTGACCAGTAAGAAAGCATTCCAATTCAGCAATTCTAAATATATAAAGAAAATGCATCAAAAATCAGATCTGGCGGGAAATGTTATATCATTATTGACCTTGCTGTAAGTCAGTAGCTACTGATATGGTCAAAACTCCGCCCACCATGATAAACCTTTACTATTAATGAGCTCAGAAGTTTAATTACACATTGCATTTACTTTTTTCAATATGGATTTTATTCTTTTAGTACATAAAATGATATATTTTGTTTTTTGCATTATTACAAAAAGTAAGTTATGCATGTGTACACAAAATGATCAGTTGGTCAATCTAGAGGATCCTTATGGGGGATTTCTAGAATTATAATTGTATACAATGACAATATGGTGTTTTACACAAAGTAGATTTTTTCATTTTTTGCAGTTTGAAAATGAAATATTTAATTTGTATTTTCTTTTAAAAAAAATTCATATTTAAACATTCTCCTCAAGAAATTCTAGTAAAAACATCGGCAACATTTGTTGTTGTACGATTATATCTATTTAATATTTGTACATTTATATTTTGATTCCCTCTTTAGCTCCAAATAGTTGTTTTGTTTTTTCTCCTGGCAGCTCCAAAACAGAAATGTATTTTATTTGGAATTCATTATTCATTTTTCCATAAATCCCTAATCCACCTCTTTTTCATAACTGTTATTTTTGTTGCTGGTCAGTGGCCATAAAGCTGTCAAATGATTCTATTGATTAAGCACATAGTACTGCCCACATGTCCTTATCTTGTATCAGTCAGATAGGTGCATTTGTTTATAAAACTAATTATCATCAAAACTCATTAACAGTGCAAGATATGTAAATAATGTTTTCTTCTGTGGTTTTTGAATATTAAGAAGTAACAAAAACAGCTGAAAATGAAATTTTGATAAAATTTAGTTGCTTTTGTATTGTGCTACCTTATATGTGTTTTTCATATCTTATAGATATAGGAAGATGTGGTATGAGTGCCAATGAGAAAACTCTCCATCCAAGTCACAATTTGTAAAAGAAAAAAACCATTATAAGCCAAAGTACGGCCTTCAGTACGGAGCCTTGGCTCACACCGAACAGCAAGCTTAAAAGGGCCCCAAAAATGACTAGTGTAAACCCTTCAAACAGGAAAACCAAAGGTCAAATCTATATAAAAAAAACGAGAAACGAGAAACGAGAAACACTTATGAACCACATCAACAAACGACAACCACTGAACATCAGGTTTCTGACTTAGGACAGGTGCAAACAAATGCAGTGGGTTTTAACGTTTTAATAGGCGCCAACCTTCACCATAACCTGAAACAATAGTGTAACATCACAACATAGAAAGACACACTATAAAATATCAATTGAAATGGTTTAACTCAATCAAAACACATATTAACAAAAACAAATGAACATACACTGAACGAATAAATTTGATCTATGACACAATGTAAATACAAAATTTATAAAACCAGGTGGTTAGATGTAAAACAATATCAGAAAGACAACCAAAACCTTGGACAAAATGCCGTCAAATAAAATAACGTACACAGGTAAATGAAAATAACTTTGTTGTAAGGTATATATGGAGTACGGAAATATTTATTACAAAATAAATAATTTTGTTGTTCATAGTACGAGAACAGAAATGAAAATTTATCGTCATACCAAACACTTATCAAAGGTGGTATATATTGAAAAATAGTGAGACGAGATATAACACTATTAGTAAACATTAAATAACAAAAATGCATTACAAATTGTATCAACAGGTCAAATTAACAAAAAAGTACTCGCAGTTACTGAAGCTAGTTAAAAGCCAAAAACAATTAATAATAAAACATCATGCATCAGAGACTAAAATCAACTACAACACATCCCAGGGATTTAATGTTTTAACGCCATGGACAGTCAAAGAAGACATGACTTTTGCAATTCCTAAATAAAAGTATCGACAGGCAGTAGGATAGTTAGGAGTTAACCTTTTAATAAATATGTATAATGTTATATATAGATAGAGTAAACTCTATATAGAAAATGAACATGGATGTGTTTTCTACAGGTACAGCCAAATTTACTAATCTAATCTTTGTATCTATGAGGTAATTTGGTTAAAGTTTTAAGTAATTTTTGGTAACGATATCCCCGACTTGATAATTTACCAGTGATGCATTGATTACGTTTATTAAAATCTATGACATCACTACACACCCGGGCATAACTAACGATTTGGGATATATAAACACCGTATGATGGAGCCAAAGGAACATCGCCGTCTAAAAGTGGAAAATTAACAATAGGGAATGAAAAATCGTCTCTTTTGTCGTAAATTTTTGTATGGAGTTTCCCTTTAGAAACTGAAATTTCTAAATCTAGAAAAGGACAACTACTGTTGTTTATGTTTATTTAAACTAAGTTCATTTGGGTAAATTTCGGTTGTATATTTAGAGAACTCTGGATTATTTAACGAAAAAATATCATCAAGATAACGGTAGGTATTGTTGAATGTTACCTGTTTCACATTTCTTTCCAGTGTATCCAGGATTACATGAGCAGGAAAAGTCATTTAACAGATCAGAACATGTACCTCCATTCTGACAGGGAGAACTAGAACATTCGTCTACATCTACAGAGAGAAACAGTTAGAAGCAAATGATAAAGGCTATATATTGGCTAAAATGTATAACTAATTTTACGTGATCTTAATATTTTCCTAACAATACTAAGGTAAAAGGTATAAGTATGTGTGCACCTTTATAATTATAACTTTATAATTGAGATTGTGTTAATTGCTTTAATAAAGCTTTTATAAAACTATATTGTTGTTTCTTGGCTGCACATGATGTTTCGTCATAGGAAACACGGGTGGAAAGCTGCTTCAATTCATCATTTGTCTTCATTTCAATTAAAAGGTGTATTTCCTGACGTAAATGGACGTCCTAACATCACAATTCTTGTGTAATTCATTTATATTTTTATTGATTTTATACATTGTTCACAGTATATGCAAATTTAACTGTAAAAAGTTAATTACATTTTAAAACAGGTAACAAGATGCTTACATATTTCCGCGTTATTAGATCTCTAGCTACCATAATAGTAATATGTTCTTTATATTTACCAATTGTGCCATAACCCTGATTGTGACATTTTTATTGAGGATGAATTTGAGAATCGGTAAACTACTGTTGCCAAAAATTTACGCAATGATGGAACATGATTTCATTTCTTTGGACATTTTTATATAATAAATTGGTAGATTTTGCCATTTAATAAGGGACTTTCCGTTTTGAATTTTCGGTATTTTTGTTATTTTACTTTTTGATGCTCAAAAAAATATTCGTAAATATTAGTGTATCGATGGTTTATGACTACAGTAATATAAAAGTGTTAGAGAAAAGACATTCACGAATTCATTTTTATTCAACAGGTATAACACATCAGGTGACACTAGTGGAGAATTTGAGTTTTGTTTGTCAGTTCTTTAAAAAAAAAATTTGGTCGACCTTTCTTCGACAAATTGTTCTAAGATGTCCCCTAAGTATCGTATCACTTTAATCTAATGAAATATTTGAATTGATAATTAAACGTTTATCACAGTTATCTATTCTGAACCGTACCATTATCACATCTAGCACCAGAATACCCTTTTGGACATATACATCTGAATCCATTGACTTGATCTTGACATATACCATTGTTCTGGCATGGATTTGGGGCACATTCATTAATATCTGCAACCAATAAAAATCTTGTATATGAAAAGAATAGATATTAGGTAACATTCATAAATCAAGCTACCATAGGAAATTTTTAAAGTATAACTTTAAGAGTTTCAATGTACCACTGAACATATTAAAAGAGTTTCTTATAAAAAAAGGATAACACTTTTTCATACTAGAAGTAATGTCAGTTATATTTGCTATTTTATTGAAGAGTAAAGAAATGTAAATTAAAATAAAACAGATAAAGAATACAATTAATGAATATGAATTATAAAGGAGTTCCTCAATTATTCAACAATACCTCCGTAATCTCATTTTCCTTAGAGCAATCCTTCGATATAATCCCACACAGATTTTCTCAAAAAGAACTCCTTCACTTGAGGATAGATTTTTAACACCAAGTACCAGAATTACGGGAAAATAATATATGACCAATAAAGTTGGCAATGCAATGCTTACCATAATAGCATACCCCACATACCTAAGTGTGTATCTGGACGATAAACAAAAGCATTCAGAATTAAATCTGTCTAGGAATGTCAAATATATTTTTGATATACAACGTTCACAAAACTGTTTTTGTATTTGATATACATCATGTTTATAGTACTTACTTATGACACAATCCTTTCCTGTGTATCCAGGCATACAGCTACACACATAACCATTCACTTGGTCATGGCATGAACCATTATTTGAACATGGCTGACTAACACATTCATCTATATCTAAATGTTAACATTATTTTATTACAAAATCGCCATTAATATTGATAGTCACAAAACCTGTCGTAATACAGTAAAAAAAATGAAATGTGATATCATCCCATTAACTATAATGTACTGCACTTCATTTTAAATGAATTCATGGTGATATTTTTCTTAACTCTGCCTAAAGCTGTATGCTAATAAGCGTCGATAGGTATATATATTTCTTACTCCCGTCACACAAAAAAACGATCAGACGAAAAGAAGAAAATGAAATTCAGTGTAGCATTCCAACAGTTACTTTTTATTATTGTAGAATAAATATATCGTACCAAGGTATGTATCCTGTCTAAAGTCGAATAATTCAATTAAAAAACATGTGATAATTTGTAGAATCCCTATTAAATATATATATTACCTATTTGGCATGTGATACCATTGAATCCAGGCTGACATTGACATGTGTACTTATTGATTAGGTCTGTACATGTACCATTATTTCTACAAGGTGTACTGTAACATTCGTCGATGTCTAAAACGATGTGAATAGGCACATTTATGAGATTAAAATCAAGTCCCATAAGATGCGAAATGTGAAATACATGATATCAATACTGTAAATACTTTTGAAAGAAGAAAAAGTAGAATATGCCATAGCCTGTCATATCTAATAATTATGTTACATGTAAATTAAAAACTAAGGAAAGCTAACCGTTTTGTAACTATAAAAAAGCTGTTGTAGTAAATAATGACAAAAAGAGCTACCTAGAAACAATTGTGACTTTCAAATACCTGTTTCACAGTTGGTACCAGTATATCCAGGCTTGCATGTACACGAATAACTATTTACATGATCTCTACAACTACCGTCATGTTTGCAGGGAGAACTGCTACATTCGTTTATATCTGAAAATGCATTTCACTTTGAGCAAACAGATGTAGTAATTTAATGTCTTTGATAGCTCGCATAAGGTAAATCCGTAAAAAAACATATTTAGGTTTTCATTTATACCACTGTTGAGTTAAACGAAGAGGAATGATTTTTTTTTAGTTTGGCATTTGGTAAATTGCTTAATATGAAGAAAATGTCAAAGAATTTGAAGAAGGTCGTCCATTTATATTATGCAATATTTTGAAAATGAAAGAAGTTTTAAGAATGTATCTTGGTTCATAAAAGTATATTTTAAAACTAGTAAAACGAATGAACGTGGCTTCAACCTTTAAGGAATAGTAGTACTAAATTGAAGAGTTACCGCCGTCAATTGGCAATTTGACGGTTCAAATGAAGTTTTATTGGAATTAACTTTACTTCAGCGAAGCTTCACGAATGACTTTGGCCTATAAACGTTAAGGCTAAACATGACGTCATACAAATGAACATTTTCAAATTGAAGATTATAACGTTACTTCTACGATTCAAATGTGGACTATATCACATCAAAACGCCATTTTTGAGGTATTTGTTGTTTTATGTTCGACTATATTGCAGTACTTGAGCAATTTTTGATACAAGCAATTGGATTTGGCGGCTCACGCCTTATTTACGACATGTCAATTCGCCGTTTCAGAATCTTGGACCATGGGTAATTTCCTTGTTCGTACCACAAATTGAAACAATATCCATTATTGGTTGAATTTCAATTGTTTGGGACGTTGTAAGTCAATCACAGCGTTTTTGTCTATGCTTTTGAAAATATTACCCAGAATGTGTTACATTCTGAAACGGCAAATTATAGATTTGACGGTAAGTTTTAACCAATGAAAAAACTATTATTTACAAAAATTGCTTTAGAATACCTATTTGACAGTTATCCCCGGAATATCCAGCAGGACACTGACATGTATAGTAGTTAATGTTGTCTGTGCAGTTGCCACCATGCTGACAAGGAGTGCTTGCACATTCATAAATATCTGCAATTGATTAAATATGGCAAGTACTTAAAAATTATCATTTTATAAAATTTTCAATATGCCACTTTCAAAAACTATTTTATTTTAATCACACATCGTTTAAATAGGTTTAGTATGAGCAAAAATCACACGAATAATTGAGTAAACGGAATATCACTATTTCTCATATTATCTCTTCATTCGGTAGACAGTTTGACTTAATCCAGGGGTCCAAAATTAAACAAATACAGAATGATCTAATTTTACTGTTCTTTTAAACTGCTGTCTTCAAACAATACTAGAATGTTATATCTTTGTTCTTTTACATTTTGTAGTTTAGATATTAAATAACCAGCACGATTTCTGACCAATACGATAACTAAACAGGTAATGTATTTTTTTTTTTATTAAAGAAAACATGCCATAAAAATAGGTGGCATAATAGAGGACGATGACTTATTTTGCCAAAATGTATACACTGGATAGCACATCCTAATTTTTACGGAGATTTTGTTTACCGAGCCCGGAAATTTAGATACGATCCGGGTAAAGTTATCGATCCTTTAAATAATCTTATTCCAAAAGGTTACCAATCCAACATTAAAATTAGATCTTTGAATATTGTTTTTATTGGTATTATTATTGATTTTGTTATCAGTAAATTAAAATCAAACTAAATATTATTTTTATATATATGCGCATTCATGGCTATATATCTATCGATATCTGTATCTTGGCAATGCACAAGGTCATGTTTTTCTCTGACTGTTAATGACGTCTTTACACTAAATCCATTGGATGTTGGATGTGTACTGATTGTTTTTTAGTCTTAAATGCATGATTTTTTTTATTAGTTGTTATTGGCTTTGAACTAGCTGTCAGTTACTGCGAGTACCCTCAGATCAATACTTAGTGTCTTTTTGTTGTGGGGATGTATAAGTATTCTGCCACGTCCACTCTGTGTTTTTGTTAGATGTATTTCTGCTTTGTATCGATTTGATGAGTCAAGCCCTTTTCAACTGATTTTTATTGTTTGTTCTTATGTTGTATTGTTACACCACTGTCCCAGGTTAGGGAAAAGTTTTGCGCGCCTTCAAACTAGTTTAACCCCGCCAAATTCTGTATGTGCCTGTCCCAAGTCAGGAGCTGTAATTCAGTGGTTGTCGTTTGTTGTTGCATATCATATTTGTTTTTCGTTCATTATTTTGTACATAAACCAGGCCGTTAGTTTTTCGTTTGAATTGTATTACATTTGTGATTTCCGGGCCTTTTATAGCTGGGTATATGTTGAGTTTCCAAGTGAATTATCAATACCTAATTCCTTTATCAAGCAGTTTATGTAATGTAATTTACATACGAAAACGATGTTGTGTGTGGCTTTATATGCGGGAACATGTTCTGTTTCTTTGTATTTATTAGCTGATAATGCGGTATTGGTTTTACTCATTGTTGAAGGCCGCACGGTGACCTAAAGTTGTAAATTTCTGTTTCATTTGGTCTCTTGTGGAGAGTTGTCTCATTGGCAATCATACCACATCTTCTTATTTTTATATTTACCTTACAATTGGTCATGAAGACACCACAGATAAAGTATACGCAAAAACAATGTAACAGACACTATCCTTTAGTAATATGCGTACCAGTTATACAGTGGACGTCTGTATATCCTGCGACACATGAACAAGAATATCCGTTTACTTCATCATTGCATGTTGCACCATTTCGACATGGAGAACTGCTACATTCGTTTATATCTAAAATAAAAAACTCTTCAAACATACAAGGCTTATGATTTAACACGCCAAACGCGCATGTCATCTACATCAACCTCATCGTTGGCACACAAATCAAATACTAGTAGTCGAAAGAGCAACTACACGTTAGAGAGCATTGTAAACTTATTTCTTACTATTGAACAAATCTGGCTATGACAAGAGTTAGAAAAATTAGTGTTTCAATTTCAACATTTAATGAACAGTACTACAGAAAATGACCACAATAAAGATATTTGTCAGCATATGAGTGATGACTACTTGGTTAGTGATTCCCTTAGGGACGACACGTTCGAAAGCAGTGGTATCGACTGTCACTTGAAAATGAGAATATGTTGTAAAGAGGTAGCACTTTAACTTTGGAATAGGTCAGCTACGGATCCATGAAAGATTTTTGCAAGCGTTTTTATAATGCACAAAGTGTATCACTCTATATGAACGAGGCATCGCATTTCACGTCACAAAATTCCAACTAGACCTAGCTGCGAATTTATACATCTGCGTTGTTGGGTAATCGTACCCATGGCACCAGACGGAGAAACCAGGACAAATTTATACATCCCTTGACTCCTTATGAGGGAATATTAATTTCAATTTAAAACAGAAAGAGGAAATACGAAACATGTTTTATACATTTTTATTGCAAGCGCTCATATAAAGATAAATATTATGGTAAAATACCTATTTGACATTCGGTTCCAGTATAGCCAGGCGAACATGTGCAAGAGTATCCATTTATCTCATCAGTACATGTACCGCCATGTTGACATGGTTTACTGGAACATTCATTTATGTCTGTAAAAATAAAATAGAATTGTCAAACGTATTCTTTAATCTGTAATGCAGCAACATAGCGAGGTGCAATAGGAGAAAAACAGAAATACGGAATTATGCTTGTATATTTTGACACACAACAGTAATATCTAGATGACAAAGAAATATTTTAATGAACGCGTGTTATCTCTACAATTTCGGGAGAAGGAAACATTTGTTAATACTGCTGTTGAAAGTGCATTATTATCATAAATGAGAAATTACACAATATAAAAATAAGAAGATTTGGTATGAATATTTATAAGAACATGTTATGAACTATTACACTAACCTGTTTGACAGTTGTTTCCAGTGAATCCAAGCGAACAGGTACATTGATATTTGTTGATTAGATCATTACATGTACCACCATGCTGACAAGGGTAAGATGTGCACTCATCAATATCTACAGTACAAGTTTATAACTCAGTATTTAAAGTATCACAAATTAACAAAGCTACGATAAAAATATTATAAAAATAAAAGTAAACACAAAATATGTATGTACAATGTAGAATTAAAAATCAATGGTAGTACGAACTGTGGCAATTAATGCATGTATATGAGTATAATCCATGTATATAACGTTGTAGTATGAATTAAAACATGTTAATGTTAAACGTACTAACCAAGTTCACAATTATATCCATTATAACCAGCCATACACGTACATGTGTAATTATCAATCAAATTTGTACAACTTCCACCGTTTTTACATGGAAGAGACAAACATTCATTTATATCTGAAATACAGAAAAAAATAATCGATTCATATCGCAAAAGTCATCGAAGAAAATGTATAAAAAATTTGACTTATTTCAAATCAAGATACATTTACCCACTGAAACATCAATATCAACTAAATTTGAGATGTCGTTGAAATATAAAGATAAGTTGAGAGTTTATTTTGTGCAAGAAACTCTTAAAATATTACAATGACTTTACATGAACTTATTTTAATTTTGATATAAAAGAACAATGTCCGTTTCTATGTATGTTGGCGTTTGTTTTTGTTGCAGTGTAGTGTTTTTGTTGTTCCGTTGTTTTCCTCTTTTAGTTGATGTGTTGTGTTTCCCTCGGTTTTAGTTTGTAACCCGGATTTGTTTTCTCTTAATCGATTTATGACTTTTGTATACTACTGTTGCCTTTCTTTATACATATCATTGAGAGTTTATGACCATCGTAATCGATTTAAATGATCTATATTTACAACTTCAAGCAGAAGTTTACATGAACTTATTTTAATTTGGATATAAAAGAACAAAACAAATCATTAACACAATATCGTACCTCTGTCAGCGTCACATATATATGTTAGGAGGTTAGAAGACAAAAAAGAATCATTATCATTTAACTACCTGTTGCACAGTTATGATCAGTATACCCTGGTAAACAGGCACAACTGTAACTATTAACTTTATCTGTACATGTGGCACCATTCTGACATGGATTCGGCTGACAATCATCAATATCTGTAGAAACGTTATTAATTTAGAAATAAGTTCTCGAAATTCCCAATATGACCACTATTTCTAGCTAGAATTTGAAATTTAGATTTATGGCCTTTTCGATATTCATAATGGTAAAAACAATGAATGCATTATGAAAAGTTTTTTTTTAAGAAAGTGTCATCGTTATTACACCGTTATTTCAGTGACGTACAAATATGCATAACCGTATGGTGACCTATAGTTGCTTACATCCATGTCAATTGGTCTCTGTTTGGTTGTCTCATTGCAATCCTACCATATCTCAATATTTCATATAAATTTCAATTCACACAAAATAGGCATTCATTTCAACATTCCGTATTTCTAATGGTTGTATCACAAACATTTAGGACATGCTTCGAAAGAACATTATGTTTCTCATAAAAATGGGACATGTTTTGGGATACATATTTATGTCACAGAATAAATGACCTCTCGGTTTGTACTTAATAGGACGTCGATATTGTGACGATAATATCTAACGTGAACGGTACCAATTATATTGCACAGGGAATGCATTTCGACAATTATTGTCTTTTCTGTGATAATCGAGGTCAAAATATTTGAAAGTCCAAAACCTAATACAAACGTTGAAGAGCTGATAAAACCAAAAAGGACCAAAAGTAATATGTTGCAAACCAACTTGCATTCACACTGAAAATACATAACAGTAAAACAAATGTATTTCAAGTCTCTTAATGTTCCTTGGAACTTGAACTATGAATTTGAATCGAAAAACATACATTATAAGTCCTGTATAATATAAATGTTCTTACCTGAAAATAGAAAAAAAATCATAGTTTCATCGGCTGTATTGACGCATTAGTTCTGGAACACCGTTTATAAAGTACAAAAAATGTTGCTGAATTGCATGCGTTATTAATTCGTGCGGAATAGTAAAGACTAAATTATTTTTCCGAATGTCCGTCAACGAATACATGAGTACATGAGTAAATGAATGATTGTGTATATGATAATATAGTAATCGCAACATGTAGTATAGTAATATATATCTTACTCTTTTAATAACCAGTTACAGTGATATTTAGCTTGTGTTCAATGTTATGTATCTATATGTATGAGTCAAACAGATAAAAATGTGTGTAATTTCATAATTTTAGTGAATATAACATGAAAAGGAAATATTTTAAATAAAACCTGCAATTTAAATTGAATTGTATCGAATCAAAATTTAAAAGTTGAAGATTATATCATTGATACCTATCTGACAGTCATTTCCAGTGAATCCAGTTTTACAAACACATGTGTAATTATCAACTTTGTCAAAACAGGATCCACCGTTTAAACATGGGTTAGGATAACATTCATTGATATCTGAAAAATAAAAAAGACTTGCTATTGACATTGTTATGCAACCAAGATTCAATTAGAGCGATATAACTGAACAATTTATAAGAATTATTACTACAATTTTTTTATATTTATCGAAAATCATTAAATTATATAATTGTGCTAAAACAAAAGTTGCAATCCCCTCTAGTAAAGTTAAACGTAGAAGGTAAGACCGTGTTGGTTCTCTGGCTTTCAGACGATTTATAATCTTAGTTTTCACAAATGCTGGTCATGAGCCTATTCGATGAGGGTGATGATGGGGTATTTTAACGACCTTGACTACCCATGAGGTTCTTGCATGGTCGGTCGATTGGGGTAATTCAAGAAATGCGTGTTATGTACCTGGAAATCAATCATCTGTTTCGATGTTGAATATCTATAAACTCTGAAGGTATTTACCTGTCTGACAATTTCGTCCTGTATAACCAGAAAGGCAAATACAAGAGTAATCATTTACTAAGTCAATACAAGTCGCTCCGTGTTCACATGGCCGCCTGAAACAGTCGTCAATGTCTGAAAAAGCAAGTCAAATATATTCTTATATTTCAATTGACAAAAATGGTATGATATGGAATGTGTTATATTCCTCATATGTCAAATTTAATAGAAATAGCATTTAGTGACATGCTTAATATTGAAAATGACATTATAACTCAAAGAAGACATTCTTCATTTTATTGAAATATATATCATTTAAATAATATAAAAGTTATATATATTTTGATTTTTTCAATAATATTTGATTTGCAAACACTCAAAACACATCACACAAGAAAAGTAGCATGGAAATAGGGTTATTTCAACTGCTGAATTATTTAAGGTGTCACATAAAACTAATTTCAAAACAGTCTAGACACAATATCCAAAAGCAGATCTTAGAACAAATGCAAAGAAGCAGATACACACTGGGGTATGAAAACATTCATTAAAATACTCATACTTGTAGTTCCTACAAAATTATATTATGAAATCCTTTAGAAACTTTATGATGTACTAGCTGCATATCTTAAAAATCAGAAATTGGCATCACATAAAAACATAAAGATGTTTTAATAGAATAGCTTGAAAATATCGAATTTGAAGTATATATGGTTTTATTAATGAGTGATTTCCAATCACATGTAACAAATATATTTGTTTAACGTGTATTTAGCATATGACAACTTTTCAATTGGCAGCTATGAGAAATATCAAATATTATTTTTTAATTCATTTATGGTCAGCAACATGGAAATAACTTAAGATAAGAAGAATATCTGTATGTTATATTTTTCATGAATACACAAATAACATGGTCAACAGGAGCAACTGATAAATGACAATCACACCATTTTTAGTCCCTTGGATATCTTTTTGGGTAAGGCATTGATTCATAGTTAGTTTTGTCAAAAGGTACGTGCTAAATGGTCATTTAAGGTAAAATATGTCAATCTAAATATGTTTACGACATCATAGTAGAATCACACGTGACGTTTCTGTATGTATGTGTTCAGATTTTATAATCCTGCTCATTTTTTAATACAATTAACATAATGTTAATAGGCTTAAAGTGTTTAACTAAACTTTCAAATTCAGGGAACACATGATATTAGTTACACAGTGTGCTAGTGACCTAATACGATCTATATGGGAGCAGTAAATTCCATATGGGATGAGAACGAAGCGCGAAGCCCATATTGAATTTACTGACCCCATATAGATCTTATTGGGTCACTAGCACACTGTGTAACGAATTTATCTTACCGACTATTTAACATGTTGCATTTCGACTATCAAAGTGATCTAGTCTTCAATATAAAGAACCTTCTTCCATTAGTCTATACAAAAATACAAAAAAACAAATGCCAACAGTAACAACTTGTTAGCTTTTTATGTGTTTTCTGCATTTATTTCAATAGCTCATCATCAATTTCTTCATCTGCTATCCAGGTGAAATGTTTCAGATTTTTCCTCGACGCCGTGGTGTTTTTATAAAGGAACGTAACACCACTACTAACCGTGTATTAAAATAAACCACGCCTACTGACCCCATATAAATTATACATGGTCTCCACGCGGTGGCTTTTAACCAATGATATTCCTAGAAATGTCTAGGAGATAAGATAATGGCTCTTATCCTACCTTCTTCTTTACCTGTCTTCAATTTTGTGTACACAGCCTTGGTCAAAGGAGCAAAACAATAGGCAGTCAAATAGATATTTCTTATTTAGCCCATGACACAGGAAATTATGGGTTGACATTTCTTTGTAACAATGGACAGGAATACTGAATTGATTTCACTGTCTCACGTATCTTCTGTATAACTACGGACATATTGATAACTGAAATAATTTATTTGTCTGACATTTCTTTACTGTATTATCGTAGATAAGAGAATAACTGAAATAATTTACCTATGTGGATAAAGGAACGTCCAGGATAATATACCTATGTTGAGTTTTTTGTATAACCGCAAACACGAGAAGAACTGAAATAGTTTACCTGTCTGGCATTTCTTTCCAGTATAACCTGGGACACAGGAACAACTAAAATCATTGATTTTGTCTGTACATGTGCCTCCGTATTGACATGGATTACTGGCACACTCATCAACGTCTAAAATAAATTTGTGAGTGAGACATTTCAATTTGAATTCTAAAGTTATTAAACTTGCAACTTTTTAACCTATATATAATGCTTTAAATGAAAACATTAAATTTTCAGGTTTTCAAGAAGAAGAAAAAGTATATTATCAATCTTTAAACATTCGGGTTGTTTTACAACTGATCAAATTCAAAGTTTTATGTTTTAAGCCTTTTTTGTACTTCAAATATATTGAAAAATACAGATTAGACGACTATACTTTAATTAAAGATCAAAGACATTTTGAGAACATGTCGCTAGTGAGTTGAGACACCGACACGTCGTTACGGTCAATCATTTAGTAATGGTGACCGTAAAACTTATATATTGTCGATTTCAGTCGCTCTTCCTCATAACTCTGTTGTATTAGTAAACTATGTATAAATGATGTTGTTGTTCCCTTGCAAATTTTGGAAGAAAGATTGAGTATCTAAATATTTTGGTATATTTTCAATACTTTCCATGGTTATCAGTCATGACCTGAAATTCAAGCCTGTTTCACGTCAATGTTTAAACCATCAACTGACCTTTCTGCGTTTGGAATCAATGTTTAACAAAAATAAAAGTACCATTGTCACATCTAGCTCCATAATACCCCTGTGTTTAGACTCAATTGTTTAACTAAAATAAAAGTACCATTGTCACATCTAGCTCCAGAATACCCGGCAGGACAAACACATTTGAATCCGTTGACTTTATCTTGACAAATGCCATTGTGTTTACAAGGATTTGGTGTGCAGTCATCTATGTCTGAAGTATAAAAACATTAGTGAAAAGCATCTATTTACTTAGTATCTACTAGTACATATCTAAAAAGTACACATTGTAAAACATGGTTTAAATATATAGCAACATTGCAAAAATGGAACGAAATTTGCAAACGTACTTTTATGGAAATTATATATGTGACAGAGTATATTACCAGTTTGTCTTTAAAATTATCATTAGCCCGTTCTTTTTCAGTAATAGCAAGAAATCACTTACTTATAGCACATGTTGTTCCAGTATATCCTGGCATACAAATACAATCATATCCATTAACTCTATCTTGGCAAGTACCACCGTTAGAGCATGGCTGACTAGCACATTCGTCAGTATCTGTAGAGCAATATATAAAAATAAGGTTAAATTCATCTAAAGCCTCCTGAAAAAAGTTTTCATAACAAATCAGTCTAGAACTATCTAACAATCGAAAAAATATATGATAAGATAGATGTGCGACCAAAGGTAAAGCCACTTTATTTTAAAAATAGCTGTAAAATTTGAAGTTTGCTAAATAATTTCAATATTGTAGTAAGTTCTTTTTTTTTTCGAAAAATATCTTACCATGTTCACAATGACTTCCCAGAAATCCAGGTAAGCATTGACAGGTATATTTGTTTACATTATCAACACATGATCCATTATTTTGGCATGGTGTGCTGGCACACTCATCAACATCTGAAATGTAAGAAAAATCAAATGAACATATATTTGACTTGTGTAGGATTTGACTCCTAATTCAATAAAAAACAACACTTATTTTCTTCAAAGTTGCTTAAACTATCATTAACTCGAGACAAGTCCTGAATAAATAGGTCGCAACAGCAGTTTTCCGTTGTGAATACAGAAATAGTGAGAGAAAAACCCTGAGGAAACCGTATGGAATCCAAAACGGAGCGAGCCCAGTTCCGTCGATAAAATAAGCGCCTCTTAATATGCAAGCATCGCCCGATATGCTAATCCATACTCATTAGACAGGAAATAGACATAATCGGACAATTTACAAACAAACCGATATCACTGGTGTCCAAGAAAGCAAAAATTAATTTCTAACATATAATTACAAGGTGTAATTTCTATGTGGACTATTAGTATTATTTCTGACGACCGAAATTGAAAGTACTGTATATCTACATTTTTTTGCATGTACTTATTTTCGCAGAATATGTAATGCAGATGAATTCGCGTGTATTCAATTTCGCAGTATTGCCAAAAAATTTCAAAATATCAATAACGGATTTTCAGTATTAAGTGAGCAAAAGTTTCAATTTAACAAGGTAAATAGCCTTACTAATGTTAATAAAGAGTAAAATCTAGTGTATACCTTCGGAACTATTTCATTCATAATTATGTGTGCATAAGTGAAATTTGATATTTGAAATCTAACTATCAGTCAATACATATTTATGTTTAAATAAATTTAAGTTTTGTATTTGTAAATATTTTCAAAAAATATTTTAATCTTCATTAATTAAATCTTATTTTGTAAACGAAATCTAAACTAATAATGACCTGGTCAGTTATATTGTTTACAAAATAAACAAATATTATTCAATCACCAAAACAGTCGTCCGTTAGAATGAGATTATAATCCGACTAAGTTATAGTTACACAATAAAACTGTCAGATTTGGCTTGGTCATTATTTGTTACCTTTTGTCCTTAATTGATTTTCTGTTCAAACGAGGTTATGTAGTAGAGAATTGATAAGAAGTAGTAGATTCGTAAACGATAATCAACGAGCGACTTTAGTCGCAAGTTGATTATCGTTTCCGAATCCACTACTTCTTATCAATTCTCTAGCTTAACCCATTTCTAGTAAAACGACTGTCTGTTTTATGTTTTGACAATGAATCAACGGAATTTCATAAAAATAATTTCGTATTTTGTCTTTTTTATTTTATAATAGCTGGAAATGATTATATCCACACGGTTCACGTCTATATTTAAGTTAACATAAGTTTAATATAACTTAAATGGGTTGTTAGCTCCCCTTTTTATTACCAGATTTCATACTTGTATATTTATATTTCATTTAATGCTTTATCATTATAAAGTATTTAAATTATATAGATTTTGGTATTTATGATTTATTCAAAAAGACATATATAAATATACAGAATTTATTTATCTTTTTTTGAATAGTTAAAAAATTGTAATTACCAAAATTTAGAAACCTTTGAAATTTACATATATAGTATTTAGCAATCTGCAATTGTTGACAGCTGATTAAGGATTGTCTACAATTTAACCGTACTTATTAATGTAAAAAAATCAATTTAACCGTACTAAGTCAAATACATATATTTAGCGAAGTTGCCATAACACTACAATTTCATGGATGCTCCAGTTAATGATGCTTTCCGAAATAAATAAAATAATTGCTTAAGGTCTTTTTTGAACAATTATACATGAATTTTGTTTAAACTGTTTCCCTTTCATTAAGTTTAGATTATTTTTAACGTTATTACATTTGACATCCATCGTAAACCAGTCAATAAACTAGTATTATCTGTGGTACGCATTCTGAATCTCCAGCAGAATTGCTCTTGCTACAGATGTACAATGTATAATTATGTAAATTTTTTACTTTTACATTCAAGCTGTTCATAGCCGTGATCGTCTAGTCGTTGGTACCGAAAAACATAACTGTGACATTAACAGTGCCAAGTTCAAACCTTGTACCCGAATTGAAATTTTTTCATTGTAATTTTTTTCTCGACAAAAATATTGTTTTAATCTTAGAGGTATTATATACTTCATTTTCATTTAAAGGCGATGATTTTGTTTCTGGTTTTACAATCAAAGAAGTAGTTTTACGGTCGTAGCTTATATATCACACTTTATTCAAATAAGAGTCCGTTCAATGTTGACGTGATGTATATTTGGACCATTTATAATCAAACTAAGAAAAAAATATTGATAGTACGATATCATTATAAGACTAAAACCATAAGTAAGTATTTGCTATGATAAAAAGGAAAAGTCCTTGTACGTTAAAAGTGACAAGTGTAATGGGCATAAGAATGTTTATTTTATCAAGGAATTGCACTAATATATACAATTCCTTGATTCTCTAGTGTTTAGAACTAGTGTGTAATAGCCACATTCGTATAAAGACCCATCGGTTCATTATAACGATGTTGAAAATCGACCAATGTTCAAACCTGACATCGTAAATAAACTCTGTTTTAAGATATTTCCATACTGCTATATAACTATAATCAAGAACGTTCAAATGTAGAACATAATCTTCCTTAAAAAATAACGCCCAAAATAAAACAATTTAAATAAATTTGAAAAGAACATGAACAAATCCAGACATAGTATATATATTTTATTAGATAACAAAAGCGAATTATCTCTGAGACAGACATACAGTTTATTGACATGTATTGACAGTTGTGCGCTTTATGAGTGTTATTTAAATATCGATTTATGTCAGCACTCGTGGTATAGTGGTATCATGCATAGACTGAAGACTCTACTGATTATGAAGAAAATACGCGCGAGTTCGAACCCTTCATATGCCACTCGTTTTTGAGAGGATAAAAAATCGTAAGTTAAAAGTTTAAAGTTATAAAATAAGTTATCTTAAGTTAACGAAGTGGTCAGTGGATTCTTGAAAAATAATCTACTGTAAGAACAATAGACTGACGTCAGAGAAATGGGTTAAGTAAAAGGAAACCAGGTTTACGTACATGTACAGTTGTAAATTCCGGGAAAAAATATTTGTTACATCCATTTAAGCTGCATTTGTATTCGCATATATTTATTTTCGCGAAAATATCTCTACCGCGAAATTCGTGAAAATAAATGCACCGCAAAAAAGTACACATACAGTATTCTAATTTCAATTTTTAATCCACACTTTGTGGTATAATTTTATCGTCTCCCCTCAAGAAGGATATTTTTTGTGTGACGCTTACTCATCATTCAATTTGAGTGGTGTTTTATCCTATTTATATGTCGATGCGTAGATAATTATTAGAGTTATATTTCTTGCATAAGTCAATAGTCTTTGAAAACCAAAATCGACGAACTTCTGAAATAGCCTAATGAAAAGAAAACCACATGTCTTCAGCGTAATCCCTGGTATCGTATCATAAAAGTGTAAAGAAACAAAAAAAAAGAGGAAATGAAAACAAAAAGAAAAAAAAAAATGACGACACTATTGCTTAAATTTAAAAAGACGAACACACAATAAAGTAAACAAAGACTTCACAAAAAACTGTAGGTTTAGCTATCTATAAAAACCAGGTTTAAACCACCATTTTATTCGGGGAATGCCTGTACTAAGTCAGGAATACGACCATTGCTTTTCACTCGTTCCGGTGGTTAATACTGTTTGATTTTGGCAGCTTTTATGGACTTCCCCTTTTTTAATTTACTTTGGAGTTCGGTATTTTCGTTATATTTTTTTGTATTGAGTAATACGAACTAATTCCAAGAGAAATCATCTGTTTTATGTTTTTTTTTGTGTGTAAATTAATTCTGCATGAATTTTGGAAAATATTTTTTTTTTTTTTATTATTTATAACTTCCAATTTACAGCATATAATATACACAAATATAATAGCAATATATAATATATAAATCTATTAATATTATCTAATCAATACATCTTTCTTAGGAAGCTTTTTTTTTCTTCTAAATATATGTATATAAGATAAAGAGTAAGACAGTCTGAAAACCAGAGAGAGAGAGAGAGAGAGAGAGAGAGAGAGAGGAAAATGTGGTGAATTTACAATACAAATTCATCTGGACATTGAATTATAATTCAGTAAAGTAAATCCTGCATTTTCATTTATAGCAGTAGAAATATGTACTTTAACTTAATAATTTATCAAAAATATTCCATTCTCTGTGAAACTGATATTCACTTTTATTTTTCATGCAATAATTTTATCAATTGCATACAAATATTTCATTTTCTGTTTGACTGAGTATATTGATAGTTTTTTTTTTAAACATCTGGTATTATAAATATATTTTTATGATAAGAAAAAGAGTATTTTCTGCATTGCCTTTTGATATTTTTGCAATGTTACCAAACCAAAAAAAACTTCTTTTGTAATAAGTACACTAGTTCCATTGGTCAGAAACCAACTTTCAATCTGTTCTAATAATATATGTGTATGTTCACAATCCAAAAATAAATGTTCTAAAGTTTCAATTTCTCTATTACAAATGATCATAAATCTTAATTTTATGAAGAAATTTGTTTGTAGCTAAGATTCGATGATTGAATCTATACTGCAGCCACTGTAGCTTGGTATTTTTTGTGGCAGTTTATAAATTCTTTTCCAATTATTTTTATCAAGGCCAAAATTTTCTGTCCATCTTAACGGACTAGTGGGAACAATTTTATTTTTATTTAAAACAATATACATATCTTTAGATCCTTTTGAACTTTTAACAAGTCTTTTAATAGTTGATGGAATTAAAGGTAGTTCCAATTTGTGATTTTTCCCCATAAATGATTTTGATGCTTGATGTACAGCAGATATAATACTATTATATCTCATGAAATTCACTTTTATCTGATATATTTCTTCTAGTTTTTGAAGAGAGAAAAAACCCATCTTCATTTACAATATCATTAACAAATCTTTATAAAAAATAGGTTTATTTTCTACCTATATGTTATTGTTAAGCCAAATTGGACTTGAAAGAAAGCATTCCAAACTGTCATATTCATCTTTTTCTCTGAGAAGTCGGCTTGCCATGCTTTCAGAACATCTTTCCAAAATTTATTTTTGATATTTTGTTGTAATTTTTGTATATATACACTTCCACAATCATAAAATTTTTCAATTTCTACATGTACATTTGACAAAAAAACTTTCTGCCATTTGTTGTCTGTTTTAAACAATCTCCTTATCCATGTACAGTTCAGTGCTAAATTAAATGCACTAAGATTTATCATTTTGAGTCCACTATCGTCAATATCGTTTTGTAAAACATCTCTCTTTATTCTATTGATGGTTGAACACCATATAAAATTGTATATAAGTTCAATAACTTTTTTTTAAATATCATCACTTGGATTTGGTAAGTATATAAACAAATGATTCAAAATAGGCAATATCAATGCCTTCACCACAGTAATTCTACCAATAACAGTAAGATTTCGTTTTGACCACTATTTAATTTCACATTTTATTTGTACAATATTTTCATCATAGTTAATTTTTACAATTCAATCAAGATTAACATCAAAGCTTATACCTAATAACTTAAAAAATGTTTCTCCCCATGAAAGTTTTCTATTTTGACATAACACCTCATTACTATACTTTTTATTTCCTATCCTAATAACCTGTGTTTTAGAAAAATTAATATTTAAACCAGATATATTTCCTAACCAATCTAATTCATTTAGTGCTTCATTCAAAGATTCTTCTTTACCCTTTAAAATAAGAGATGTGTCATCAGCAAACTGTGAAAGTTTGTGCTCAACTTGAGTAATGCCCTTTATTTTATTATCATTTCGTATTTTTAGTGCTAATATCTCAGCACAGAGAATAAAAATATAAGGAGACAAGGGATCACCTTGTCTACAGCCTCGTTCTATAGAATAAAATTCTGATAGATGTCCTCCCTGATTAACAGCTGATTAAATATTGTTATAAAAAAACTTTAATTCAAATGATTATTGATTCTCCAAAATCAAACAACGTCAGTACACTGGTGAGAAATTCCGAAAAATTGAATCAAATGCCTTTTCAAAATCTATGAGCACTTAAAGGCCTGGAATATCTCTTCCTCAGTAAATTGCATAATATCGTAAATTAAACGAAGATTTTCTCCAATTATCTCCCACTAATAAACCCAGTTTGATCGAAATCTATCAGTTTATCTAAAATTGTTTTAAAACGTTTTGCTATTACTCCAGAGCCAACTTTATTTTCTGTATTTAATAAGGATATATGTCGCCATTTTTTTAAGAAATGTCTAGGCTTATTTCCTTTTGGTAGGCATGTAATGATTCCCTGTTTTTGCGTAACAGATTGTTCACCAATCTCAGTACTGTAGTTCAAGGAATTTACAACAAAAATTTTCAAATCTTTCCAAAACAACTAAAAAAACTCTGTGGAAAAACCATCTGATCCTGGCGTTTTACTATTTTTTAATATTAAACCAGCTTCTTCAATAGGTATTCTACCTTCAAGATTATTTTTCTCATCATCAGTTAATTTTTTAAACTTAATATCTTTCAATCCTTCTTCAAGTTTACTTAATTTATCTCCCTTTGACTGATCTTTATTCTTATATAAAGTTTCATAATTTTGGAAATTTTGGTTTTCAATACTTTTCAACTTTGTAATTGATTTCGTCTTCGAACTTTTATAATTCGAGCCCGACTACTCGGAAAACGAAATACGTGTATGACGTACTCAGTTTTAATTCAGGTATCTTTGAGGATGTGTTTTGTACATTGTTTTGATGATCCTAAGTATGGTACTCAAAACACATATTAACAACACCGAAAAATGTTTATATTTGGATTCCAGATACTAATGTCGTTTAGTAATAATACTTTTATTTGAATTTTCTAGATAAAAAAAAATCTATTTACTCGAATAAAACTACGATTATGCTATGATGTTCTAGAGTTTTTAGCTTGAAAAAGTTCATCTGTATGCCCTACCTGTCTCACAATTAGCTCCAGTGTAACCAGATTTACAATCACAAGTGTATCTGTTTATATGATCTTGACACGTTCCATCGTGTTTGCAAGGATTACTAGCACATTCGTTTATATCTGTAGAAACAATCATCATTTGGAAATTGTTAAAATTGCTTCATCAATTGAATTAATAAGTAAATCATTTAAAGATCAAATGAAATTAGTTGTTATAAATTAAATAATCTTATAAATTTTTTGTCGTATAATTGAATATATTTTGTCAAATTTCAAATTATTAATATGAACTATCCATTTTATATTCAGAAGATCGATCATTAAATTCATTTTCCCGCTTTTATATTCATCTGAATAAATTTTGACAGAAAGAAGGCAATTCGGCCATGCATATTTAGATGTACCTTGTTCACAGCTCTGTCCCCTATACCCAAGCGGACACTGACATGTATATTTGTTTACATGATCACTACACGTTCCTCCATGTTGACAGGGATTACTACCGCACTCGTCAATATCTAAAAAGGTAAATGATGTATTCATACATTGTTTCATGATGATGCAGTTTTTGGGAAGTTAAAAACGATTTTTATCGTAAAAGTAAGAGTGTAATTTCTGAGGTTAAACAAATTATGAAAGCAAAATACCTGTTTCGCAATGTACACCTGTATATCCCAGCAAACAATTACATGTGTAACCATTTACATTGTCACTGCATTTAGCACCATTCTTACAAGGAGAACTACTGCATTCGTCAATATCTGTGTAACAAAAAAAAAGAGAAAGAAATAAGCATAACAGGACTTAAAAAACAAAATTCACGAGCATAGACATCAATATAAATAGATTAATACATGATACTTTCCATATGGATCGGTTATCCGCCCTCGACGCATATCAGTCCCACGGTTACCTTATCGGACTTATGAAGGACTTTCGAGATGTTAACCGAGCCCATATAAAAAAAGCCATGAATTAAAGAAAAACCGGAGATACCAAACGGACAACCAAAAATTGTAAGTCATAGACAAATCGACAGCACAATGACAAACAACAAAGAGCGACGAAAACGGATTAGGAAACACGTTATAAAAAACTAAAGATTTCGCAACAAGAACGCCTTCAAAAACAGGGTGGGTTTTTTACAGATGAGCAGATCCTGATAAGAACAAATTCCTAGATGAGTCCATTTCGGCTAGGTTACAAACCAAAGAAAAGAGTGTGGCTACGACAATTGGAACATATCCGTGGTCTTCTGTGACAGACACTCTATAAAGATCAACCAAATCATGACAGCATTCGTAAAACAGTCGAGGTAATTACTTCAACTTAACCACCAATAACCCTTGGTTGATTCAATAGTTTCCAAGAAAGGAAACGCAAGCACTGAATGTCGTATCAACAAGGAAATATATACATCAAATGCAGGCGCTGCTGGAATGTTGCTACATGGAAATGTATGGTTCACAATAAGAAAACTGAAATCATCTCTTTTGTCGTAAAGTTCAGTTCTCCACCGAACCTCAACTTCTAGATTGAAATCCAAATACATGAGGCGGACTTATCTATACCTGTGGTTTCCTTTATTTGAAGTTCGATTGGATAGATAAACTCAACAAGATACCTAAAATTTAATATATTTAGTGAGATGTTATCATCAATATAGCTTAACGTGAAGTTTAAGGATAATACTTTATTCTATTCATTCTTCCCGAGAAGCTCTTGTACGAAGACTGTCACATGTGAATAAAGGAACAAGTCAACAAGAAGAGGAACACAGCTGGTTGCCATAAAAATGCCGATTGTCTGTTGAAAAAAAAACACGTCCTCCAAACGTAACAAATAAGATGTTGAAAAAAATTAGGTATATTTTAGAGAATTTCTTATTAGCATCAGAATGATTTATTCCTCCCTTAACCAAGATATGTATAACTAATATAATAATTCTTTTGTTTATTCATCACATACTTTCGACTTTAGATTCTAGGTCAATACCAAACTGATATATCTGTAATTTTTCCATATGATGCCCAGACTTACAATGAAATAATCATCGAGTCTGATAAGGAAAATCACGGAATAATAGAAAACTTATTATTTATTCCCAATGTTTTATCAATCCAGAAAAATTAATTGCAGACACACTGCAACTTTAAACAAAAAGAACCTTATTAACTCATCAGTTACTTTCAAAGATCAACAATGTAAACAGCAAACAACTATTTAAAAATGTTAGCTATTCATTTTAACAATTTATTGTATATGTGTATAAAAATGACAATCATTTTAAAATCAAAGAATCAACATATCCTTATATATTTATAGTAATATTTCCAGTAATGCAGCCGTACAAAGGTAGCCAATATCCTCATACTTGCACGAGAAGCAATTGACAAAGGTTTATTAGTCCGAGTATGCTGATATGGGCTGGTTTATTCCAAATGTATAATCTATGTTAATGTAGAATATACATTTAACACTGTATATTAAATAAAAAATATATAAATCTTTCAAACCTTTTTCACATTTGATTCCAGTATATCCTGTCGTACATATACAAGTGAACCCGTTTATCTGGTCGAGACATTTTGCTCCGTTTTGGCACGGTCCACTGTTGCATTCGTCTATATCTGCAATTGCAAGGAATATTTTAAATTCATTTCTGATGCAGTTATTTTTGATTATACATGTAAACGGAAAGTATCAAAAATTAAAAAAAATATTTACAACGTGTATATATGTATGACGGAACTTTTACGGAAGAAAAGGCTGACAAATGTGCTAGAAAAAAATAAATTAACATAATATATTCGGTGCGACCAAAGCGTTTTTCTCAATTCACCTTCATCAGGAACGCTAAAAACCAAATATTGTGAAAGCAAGGGATGTATAAATACAGGAAAACCTATATGGCCAGAAGATACCTATGAAGAATAGTCAAAAACCCTTTAAGATCAATTTTGCCATAAGGAGTTGAAAATAGTGTCTTGGGCAATATCAAATACCAGTAAAATGGTTAGATTAAGATGAGAAGAAACGGCACTTAAAGGTAAAAAAAATTATAAGTTCTTTTTAGACTCTGATAACTTTAGATTTAGCGTGGTTTTTTAGTAAAAAAATTTGAAGTTACTATGTACTTATTTTTCTGAACAGTTTTGTTGACACAATAAATAGTAAATTAAATCATGCAAAAGGTAAATGAGTTATTGTTTTTTTTTCTATCTGCTGTTCAACCATAAAGGAAGACATTTCAACCAGTTGATCTAAATTATGCGACTTATTTGTGTACAGTTCGATCAATATACAATAACTCGTATAAATTTAATGTAATAGTTAATGTGAAAACGAAACTGTTCTGTACTTACCGATTTGTGATTTAGTGATTTAATAACAGTAAGCTTTTAATAGAGAAGTAAAGACCATACTCGACAATATGTGTGATAAAGGTAAGATCAAATGTTACAATACCTATCAAAACCTAATGAAACCAATGAAAAGTCTCACAAAATTACATACATCACCCGACTTTATAATTTCACATTTTATTTTTGACATTTTATTTCAGGAAATCGGTACTTTTATTTAATCAATTTAAGGAACAAACCATATTAATTTTACTGAAAGTACTTTATTTACATATCTTGTCTAACACTTGGCAGAAACAAACAGACAAATGTGATATAAGATATCGCAATACATACATTTAACAATGAAACTTTAATTTATTGTCTGGACACTTTACCATCATTTCTACATAAGGAAATGCCAGTATCAAGTAAGGAATATGACAGTTGTTTTCCATTCGTTTGATGTTTTTGAGCTTTTGATTTTGCCATTTGACAAGGGACTTTCCGTTTTGAATTTTCCTTGGAGTTCGGTATTTTGTTATTTTACTTTTTACCAATCTTTTATATTTTGACATTTTACAAAGGTTTCCAGACAAGAACTGTTCTTTTTATAAAAAAGAATAAATACTTCAGGTCGGTAAAACTAAAAAAATTAAAAGGCTAATTCGCTTAGATGTTCTAAACTTTAAAGGAGCATTAGCTATCAAATTCATGTTCACCGATTTGACTCAAATTCTCATATTTGATTTATAACATACTAAAACGTTTATCCAAATTACAATCAGTCTAAAATAAACAACTAACAGTACATAGACTTGATAATATATATCAGCATTTTGTATGTATTTTAGGCTAGACGCCATCTAATTAACCATCTAAATGACCTCCGAAGACTGCCGACGGTCACATAATCCGATATAAACATAAACATAAATATTAATAGATTGTGACCACGTGCATTTGGATTTTTCTAGGTATGTTTGATTTTATGTTATAGGTTAATAAGATAAGTTAAACATCGTTTTTACATGTATAAGAATGATATTTTGTAGAATCTGTCAACGAAATGGTTCACCTTTAATTAACTTTCAATGGTGGCATTCTTTTCCTTTTAATGGCTAAACACGAATAATACATGCGTAACCAATCTCTAGATTAGGGGTTAAATTGAAGGTCACATGAATACGAATTAAATGAGGTCGAGTTATTCACTTGCAAGTGAATAATTCATCAGCGATGTTTCTTAGCTCATTTTGACAAAATTGAACTAAAAGCGAATTATCATTTCACTATTTCACTTTCACTAATAATTGAAAAAAAAAAAAAAAATTAAAAAATATTTATTTTTATATCTCGTAGCTAATGCCCCTTTAAAGTGTTAGATCCAAAACAACGTGAATGTTTTATTGAAATATTTTGTCATACAATTTAAAATTTCAAGAAGGAAACTTTCAAACAATTTAGATAAGATAAAATCTCATTCATGTTTTCAATGTTCATAAACGCATATTAGTTCTAGGCAAATATCTTCCAACAATATTCATGGGAACAAATGCTTAATGCTTAATGATTCAAGGAATTTATGTGACTACGTAAGCAATAATCAATATTATGAACAAAATTTAATTTCAAAAGAACAAAAAAAAAAAAAAAAAAAACCTACTTCAGCCGATAAATTATCTAAAAAATTGGTACTTGAATTATCATGTTCATATAATTGTATACTGATCAACCTTAGCTAACTCCTTCTTCTTTTCAGTTAAAATTTATTATTTCATGTTCTAATATATTTTGTAGTTTATCTAAAGTAGGTAATTACAAAATTCTATAATAAAGGAATTGTATCTAGTTTTTTAGCGTTGGCTTTACAGAGCTTGTTTCTCTAAAGTATGCAATTGTGTTGTCTGATTGCATCCTCTGTATCTATTTTTTGAAGAAGCATGTTCAAACCGCAGTTTTGACAGATTTTGATAAATTATGAAAAAGGTAAAATAACAAAAATACCGATCTCCAAGGAAAATTAAAAAATTGTCTAAGATTTCATGGCAACATGTTAATTGTTGAAATTGACAAAGACGTTTTAAAAGACTCGGCACATGCGAGTTTCGGACGCTTTGTAGTGGGTAGACCATACAACCAATATTCTTGAAATAACTTCTTAGAAGGTAGGAAAATTTACAGAGTCAAACAAACAGACAGAACCAAAAAAAAATCAATACTTTAAATGACAAATAAATTAATTTAAAAAAAGACGAAAAGATCAATGGATCACCATAAAATGTAATACAAAAAGCCTTATATTGAGATACTAAATCCCACTAAAAATCTGATACGAACAAAGGAGCTCCAATATAGTACTAAACACGTATGACACCGATTTCAGCGCAAAGGCCACTTGCTTCTAAAATAAACCTATTCAGGTACGCTTTGAACAAAAGACATGGGAATTCATATACAAATAATAATTGTAAGGACCAATTCAGAACCGGTCTACCTTGCAACCATAGTAAAATAGAGGCGATAGATACCAGGGGGACATTCAATCTCATAAGTCGAAAATAAACTGACAACGCCATGGATAAAAAAGAAAAAGACCAACAGACAAATAATAGCACACAAAACACAACATAGAAAACAAAAGACTGATCAACACGATCGAACCCCACTAAAAACAGGGGGTGATCTCAGGTGCTCCGGAAGGGTAAGCAAATCCTGCTCCACATGTGGCACCCGTCGTGTTGATCATGTTAGTACAAACCCGGTACTAATTCTAATTCGGTAGGTCACATTCGGAAAAAGGGGGACAGGATTGTAGTTACGATATTAGGAACATATCCGCTATCATCTGTGAAACGGATATTCCATTACGGTCAACCAACTCGTGATGGAGTCCGTAAAACTTACGAAGGGATGATTTCAACTTCGCCACTTGGAACTCTTGGTTTAATAGCTTCATTGTGAGCAGCAACCCTCTATCAAGTAAATCATGATAGGAAATACAAGCCCTAGAATATTGTATCAACTTGGAGATATATACTCCGTATGCAGGCGCTGCTGGAATGTTGCTTCATAGAAATAAAAGTTCACAATTGGGAAGCTGAAACCATCTCTTTTGTCGCAACATTGGACAAAATTACAATTACACAATTAGAAAATTGAAAATGTACAGTCAAAATATCGTTTAAATCAGCAAATACCACAGCACTGGTTAATGGGCAGATGGAACTGTCGGGTACTAAATGACCACCTGCAGCACCGACCAGTTGAGAGTAATAACAACGCACGACATATCGGGGTTGTGGCTATCTCTAATCGACAATTCATCAGTGCTCGTCGATGAGACGGCTGATGTTTAAAATGTCTTTTACTTGCTACATTCATTTGTTTGACTGTCTAGTCCATAAAACAATTAGAAACTTTAGTTTTTTTCTATATTTTTGTAAATGGTTTTACTGCAAATGAACAACTTTTTAATCCTAAGGGTCAAAAACGGGAGTTATTTGAAAGATAATGGTTTTTAATATCAAAAAGTCTAATTAAGATGCTTTTGAACATTTTTAAACAAGTTTACCTGTTTCCATAAAATAAAAATTATTCACACATAATGCTGTTGAAGACATTTTAAACATAACAGTTCAAATTGTTCATGTGTTTGTTAATCTTTTGAACGAAAGAATGTTTAAACAAAATGAACTGACTGGTGTTTTTATGACATAAGACTGCTCTTCTCCCTAAAGTACAATGATTTTGGTAAATAATGTGTTTCTTGTACATTTTTGGCTAAAAAGTTCGTATAAAGTATATAAATTTACTTTTGAATACTATCTTATGATCATAAACAAGCTTCTGTCCAAGTGTGGTACAAATCCAGGATAGTTTAAGAAAGTTATTAAAATTTGAAAAACTTTAACCACAGAGTGAATGTTATGTTAACTGGCAGAAAAACTAAGTCCATATATATGAGTTAAAATACGGAAAAACAGGATTTATTTTTTACAAAATTTTCTTCTGGATACTATCTTATGATCATAAACAAGATTCTGTCCAAGTTTGGTTGAAATGCAGGATATTTTAAGAAAATTATTAAAATTTCAAAAACTTTAACCACAGGTTGAATATTTGTGGACGCCGCCGACGACGATGAAGCCGACGGAATGTAGGATCGCTATGTCTCGCTTTTGCGACAAAAGTCGCAGGCTCGACAAAAATGAGAAAATTGGGTATGATTGCAAACTAGAGCAAATGTCGTAGAAGTTTGTAAATACAGCTGTTTCACAATCCAC